CTTACTAGCTCCATCTAGTAATGTTCAGGAGAGACTTATATGTCGCCTTACTCCATGACGTGTTCCAGTATCTAATTAGGCGTGAAACCCCTAGGCGAGGCGTTTTGCCATTGCCTTGCGCCTAGGCGTGCCTAAGCGTAAGATTAAGCGTGCCTTTTTGAACCATGCGTATGAGAAGCCATCATGGCTTTCCTTAAACTTAAACTTAAACTTAGTTAGGGGAGTCGTAACGATTCATCCCTCTAACATCTTAAACTTATCGCGGTGGCTGTTCACCACGATTCTCAAGAGCATAACTGCTGCTCATCTTAAAAGTCTCAGGAGCATAACTGCTGCTCTGTCTCAAAGATCTCAAGAGCATAACTGCTGCTCTATCTGAAAATCTCAAATGGCAACGGACTGGCGCTAGTGACTAAAAACACTTAAAACGACTTCACCTTCTTAAAAAGAACTTGTTTCTTAAACTTTAACAATAACTCAAACATAACGCTTTAAGGTAAATAGCACAAAATCACCTCATATCACCTCAAATAGCACAAAATCACCTCAAATCATAGCTCAAGCAAAGCACAAATAATCAATCATAAACATAACCAAGCAACGGTAACCAATTCGCTAAAATACTTAAAATCATAATACTTAGAAGAATACGTAAGGCATAGAATTTACCCCATTTACACTCACCTTACTGTTCGGAATCCACGTGAGTTAATCGCTATCAGCTATCGATTGCCACCATCATTATATCCTGAATTCTGCTCCCCGAGATCCCTTTATCAACGACGGATGATGACTCCTTTACCTCTTTATCAACAACAAGCTGAACTCCCTCAACAATCTCAATAATCTCAACGTATGCTCCATCCATTCCATGCCAAATTGACACATGTGGTTGAAACGCCGGCTCCCTCCTCAATTCAGCCATAGTTTTCATTCCATGCTGAAGCCACGTTCACCATGAGCATAAAAGAAAGCTCCAAAATCATTGTATCCCAATTTTATCAAGTTGTCCGTCCGTATGTAATTTCCCCTTCTCGATCTTTTCCTTTTTAATACAAACCCATCTCTTGTTTAACCGCATCGCCACTCCAATCGCCACTCCTAAGAAGCTGTTGGCAAGATCTACGTGTCATCAACTTGCACTGATCATCTTTGTTGAGACCCTACAAGGTTAGTACGCTCCCTTTCCAATAAAAAGATAACTTCCTTTTCTTCAAATCGACCTGAAAGTGGCTGATCGTTTCTAACCAGTCCCATCCCAAGACGAGATCATGAGCTACTAACTCAAGATTACGAACATCAAAATTAAATTCCCGACCCTACATTTTCCAATTGAGCACCCCTACATACTTCATTTCTCAACAAAGTGTGTCCAAGAGCTACCTTCACTCTCATGGGAGCGATATTCTCAATGCGGCAATTCAGTTCTTCAGCCTTAAGGGAATTTAGGAATGTATGCGAACTACCAGTATCGATTAAGACAGTTACCTCTCGGCGCCTTGCTGTAGCTGGAATGAGAAGAGAATTCCCACAGAAACCTGTACCCATAGCCTGTAAGGAAACCTCCAAGTCTGCATCTTGATACTCTTCATTCAAGTGATCGTCTTCATCTTGGTAGAAACATGACCATGTAAGTAACTGTCACCACACTTGTAACAGAGGCCTTGACCCCGAGGAACGAAAGTGTGCTCCGGCGGCACTTCTTGTGGAGAAAACTTGCTCGAGTATGGTGTGGGTGGGACATGCAGCCATCGAGGAGCAGGGGCTGAACGCAACTTCCATTTCCGAGCTTCAATGGCTGATTCTTCGAGGCGAGCTTGATACAAAGCACAGGCTAAAGTCGGTGGATTGAGTACTTGAACACGAGGTTGAATCTCATCATCCAAACGCGAGGTTGAAATAGTGCTTGTTGAGATCCGGATTCAGGTGAAGAATTCTAGACCGAAGCTCTTCGAACTCTTCTTGATAGGTGGAAACATATCCCTTCTGTCGGCTGATTCGCGCCTAATTGTACATGTTTTGCCACCGTTTTCCTTAGTCGTTTGTGGAAACTTTGCTCCTAAAAGGTTGGTTTTATGCTAGGTTTCTCGTGTATTAGTGTATGTCAGGATTTAACAGGTGAAACAAGCCTCGAAGTCGAAAGTTGGACGAAAAGGATCGAAAACCGGGAGAAGAGGTGAAAAAGGGTGAGATCATGGTTTTCTTGGGCTGTTCACGGTCTTACATGACCCTGAAGAAGAGCCATTGGCCGTGAACCTTGAGGCGTCCAGAGCCAAAATGCAAGATACTGACGCAAGACGTGTTCACGGTCACTAATACCGTGAACGGGACCTGTGGACCGCCTAATTTTTCGAGATCTTGCAAGCCATAGGCGATTTTGAGAAATGAAAAAAAATCATGACGTTCGAAGTGCGGAGCACAAAGTTATGGTTGTCGAAAGTTTGGCAAAATCGAAAAAAACTTGTTCAGGGTAGCAAACGACATTTTTTGGGACGAGGCGGGACCAAAGCACATGTGGCTTGCAAGATTTCAAAAAATAATGCGTAATTAAAAAATTCGTTACGATCAGATACCCGAGCTTAAAGTTAAGTTCGTTTGGAACATTGAAAAAGCATTAACATATAATAAAACTTAAAGGGAAATTAAAAAATGAACTACTTCCACTAAGCTTTGAACCTATGATCTGAACAAGCACATAACAAGCTTCCATCACTAGGATATCTAGATTTATTGTTTTTTACTCACAAAAAAAAAAGAATTATACACATAAAAACCGCGAGATTTTCCAATAATAGCAGCTATTAAAAAAAATTCAAAAAATCGCACCCAACCCACAAAAATTCCAAAAATTGCACCTTTACATATAAACCGCACAACGGGGGAGCGGTCCACGCTAGGGCTGCCCCAAAACCGCTTTCTCAACGTGCGGTCCGCGTTCTCGAGTCGGCGGTCCCCAGCACCGTTGGATGAGGCGGCGATCCAACGGCTGAGCACGCGCCAGTGCAGGGATCCGTGACAGGGATCGAAGACCGCGCACCTGGCGAACTGTCAGCGCCTCAGCCGCCGTGAATCGCGCCTTCCCTGTGCGATTTTGTAATGTGCAAAATTACGAGATCGAGACCGCCCCTGAAGGGTGCAGTCTAAAAAGTATAAATACCCCCTCCTCATTTTTTTACACCAGAACCCATTCTCCTCTCTCTATCTAAAATGATCCCTCTATCCATCCCCCTCCCCTACCAAAACCCTAGGAAATAGTGGTCTGTTGGTTGTGGCTAAGTCCGATCTGCCATCATAAAACATTTCTTTGGCTTTTCCTTCAAAACCCGCCGAATCTCTGTCCGACTTTCGCGAGAAAATGGACGAGTGGTTCCAAGAAGAGGGGACTTATTATGATGAATTTCAAGCGGTACGTACTCATTTACCAAATGTTGTTGTTATAACCTTTTCAATTTATCTATGTATTAATGTTGTTGTTATTCTCTTGTAGGTTGGGGACAACGTGGATATATACAACCAACGGTATTATGTTGATCAAGGGCCTAGAGAGCCAATAGTGTTGTACGACCAACCCAACCATCGTTCAAGGGATGTTTGGAACGATACGAGGTACATACAATTCTTCATCATTTCTCTTTCTTTTAATTTGTTAACGTACTTAGTGGAATATAAAATAAATTTGATCATGTTTAATCGTATTGGTTGTTTTCAATAATTTAATCAAATACATAGCGTTACTTACTTAGACACTTTATAAAGAGATGCATGCCTAAGGAAATGAGTTTTAAGCGATTACCATGATCCTCCCATTTCCTGGAAAAATTGGGTTTTAAGCGATCATCGGATCCCCCCCCCCCTTTTTTCTGTCAAAAAGCCTGCATTTCTAAGAAGATGTATACCTATTCTAAGAGTCTTATGAGTGTTGCATTGTATTCGATTAAATTATTTAAAACAACCAATACGATTTATGTGTATGTGTACAATTATAATTTTATTAAATTTAATTATTTGAATATGTCTCTCTCTAAATTATTATTCATTTAAAATGCTATTTAATTTAATTAATTAAGTATGTTTTCTTCATGGAATTATGAATATATTTTGGAAAAAACCTTGAATTATTTTAAGGGGGGGATGTAGTTTGTGTAAGAGAAACAGAACCGCATCCTCAGCAAGCGGTTTTGCTAGGTCAGCCTAACAACCGCCTTGCCAGGATGCGGTTCTGGTAGATCATAAAGCAAATCATCTGTCCAAGTTGCGGTTTAGTTTCTGAAACTCAAACCACACCTTGGCCGTGCGGTTTTTAAAAAGGGTGCTACTTTTGGAATTTGTGTTGCCTGGGTGCTATTTTTGTAATTTTTTTAATGGTGCTATTTCTGGAAAAATCCCAAAAAATGCAGGGGCATGCAGTTTGCATGTGAACTGCTGCTTCCAAGCGCGGTTTATCAGACCGCTCCCTCCCAATGCGAGACGGCGCGGTTTTCGGAAAAAGGCGATAGTTTTTTGAATTTTTCGATAATGGATGTTATTTTTGTAATTTTTTTCTTTTTAGTGGTATTTTTAGAAAAAATCTCAAACAAAGTGTGTGCTCTCCCTTCCATGTAATAAGAAACCAATTCAACCTTCTGCTTCTCTAGAATCAAGAGGTTGGAGTATTTGCCAACCCACACATGAGGATCAGAACCAGAAAAATAAGAGAACTCGAGGCGAGGATAGTGATCCAGAACCGATGGTCGTCACTGCTGAGCACGAAACTGGTGGTGATCTGAAAAATGAGACTGAGAGTGCGGTGGCGAACTAACCGACAATTTGTCACAACTCTGGGCGAAGAACGCAATCAAGGTGTCGATGTTATCCTTCATCGAAGCATCTAGCGCAACAATGCTGTCCTTCAAATTCTGGTGCTAAGAATCCAATTTAAGTTGAACAGCCACCATTTGTGCCTCCAAATCGACTATGCGAGAAGTATTAGTTGCCATTGACATATTACAGGCTTCTGATACCACTTATAAGGATCTTTATTTGATTTATATGGCGAAAGAATGGAGAATGGAGAAGGTACAAAGAAGGGAAAGAATGAGAATGAGCTAACTTGTTCTACAGAGCTAAAGTTACACGTAAAAAAAGGGGAATAGTGCTAACAAAATTACTTCTTCTTCGTTTCTCCTATTTATAGCCACTATGTGTAACTGCCTTGGTAACTGTTAGCTGGCCACTTGCTCCAAACCACCTCGGGGCCCCTTGTCGCCTCCTTAGTGACTAATTGGTAATCGTCGCCTTGGGGGCCCTTGTCCCATCTTGGGGCTGGTGGGTATTTAATGGTCCCAATGTCGGGTTGGGTTGGTGTTGAGCCTCTTCGCCTTAGCCTCCATGATGAAGTCTTGATCACATCCTTGATATCCCTGACGACTCCACACTCCTCATCTTACTAGAAACCTCGCCGAATTGTCTTGATAGCTAGGACATATTACCCATCTAGACAGGATGAGAACTTGGCCCCTTTACCCCTCAAGTCTCCACACTTAGTCTTAGAGAGACTGTCATAGCACCAACTTGCCATCTTGGTATCAAGCCGGTCTTGTCGACTTGATACCCTTGCTACCAAACCAGTCCTGCCGGCTTGGTACCCCATACTTAGATTCTGCAATCTTATCAAGTTAGTACATTGCACCCTACCGGCTTGGTACCGCGTTAGGGGGTCACCAAGCCCATCTTGGGACTTAGTCGCTATATAGCCCCCCTAAGGGGTTCTACATCATGTTTATGATGACCTGGCACCCAGTTGAGGCTCTACATCATGTTCATGAAATAAGCAAAACGACTTTCAAATCCAACGTAAATCACCCAAACACGGTAAATTTCATATTTTAAAAACCACGGCAAAATCATTAGTGATTCATAGCCAATAGTCAAGCAAAATTATTAATGATTCATAGTTTAGTCATCACAAGTAGTGGTTGCGATGAGTATGTAGCTAGCCTTTTTTTAACCACTTGGTTTTCTATGAAACTAATCTGCATAGTTATGAGTCCAAAAACATAAAAAAAAACATACACAACATATCTTCTAAATTACAGATAAGTAAACCAATGACAAAACAAAACCCTCGACAATAATCCTTTTTTTTTTCTCATATTCCCAAATCACACTAAGCAAGTTTAGGAGATTCTTACCCAAATCTGTCCTCTCAAATCCTGCCGAAACAAAAATATGAGAGTCAGTACTTACCGTAATCCAAGAAAAACAAAAATAAAAAATTAATAACCCTCACCTTCCATCGCCGTCGTCAAAACATCACTGGCGGAGCTCTTTCTGTCGGGGAGCTCAGCCGCCAAAGCCTTCCCCTTCCTCCACTCGACCGAAAAAAGGGGACAATATTAATACCCAGACACAAAAAGAACAATCAATAAATCTAATAAACCAAAAGACAGATCCGAGCCTACCGTTGGTCGTCCTTCGGACTGGTTGACGCCGATGGCGGCCCTTTTCTTCTCCTCCGTTCAAAACCCAAACAAAAAAAAAAACTAATCAGAATCCTTTTTTGAAACAGAAATCCAAAAAATCAACATGCAAGCTGAATCTTACCTAGATCGAAGCCTCTCTAGTTTGATTAGAGGTTCTCGGGTCGGGTTTTTGTGGTCGACGGCGGCGGCGGTCTCGTCTCTCCTTCTCCCCTCGTCGATCCAAAATCCAAAATAACATGTATTAGAACAAAAAAAGGCTAAATTTGAAACCCCAAAAGAACGACATGTAACCTAACCTTATCTCGATCTGTACTTCGTCGCCGATGCTATCATCATCGCCAACATAGACCACCGTCGTCCTTAACATCGTCGCCATCTGTGAAAAACGTAGGGTATGGAAAAATTGGAGGGGAAGCTCGGTTGTAAGCTGAGCTCTTTGTGGCTTATATAGCCACTTTTGTAATTAGCAGAAATGTAACACGTGTCCATACATCATTGGTTCTTTGATTTAAACTAACAGTAACATTAACGGCTAACTAGACAAAGCTAAAACGCTGCCGTTCATTTAAAGTCTTCAGCATCCATTCTTCTCTACGACACCGTATTTCACAACACTTCTTTTCTTCTTCGTGACGACGCCGTCTTCAATTACTCTTCAATCCGAATCCAGTGAGGATTGCTTTCCTCTGCTGTTCTTCTTTGTCACCCCCCTTCAAGTTGGTGGTGCACCTGTAATCCCCAACTTGCTCATGATTTCTCTCATTCCGAAACGATCCAAACCTTTAGTAAAGATGTCTGCTAACTGCTCCACTGTCCCAACATGCTGCAGCTTGATTAAACCAGCTTTAATCCTATCTCTTGTAACATGGATGTCTATCTCGATGTGCTTGGTTCTTTCATGGAAAACAGGGTTTTCTGCTATGTGAATAGCTGACCTGTTGTCACAATATACAAGGATAGGAAGTGGTACCTGCACTGTCAGTTCAACAAGCAGTCTTTTCAACCACTCTATTTCACAAACCAAATGTGCCAAGGCTCTATATTCAGCCTCAGATGAAGATCTTGAGACTGTCGTTTGTTTCTTGGTCTTCCATGTAAGAAGTGAAGAGCCAAGGAATGTGCAATATCCTGTGATGGAACGTTTGGTATCAGGGCAGCTTGCCCAATGTGAATCACTGAAACCAACTATTTTCTCTTCTGCTGTGTTGCTGAAATGAATGCCCTGATCTGGTGAAGACTTCAGGTACCTTAAGACTCTATAGGCAGCCTGCATATGTTCCTCACAAGGATTCCTTTGGTATTGGCAGAGTTGTTGTACTGCAAATACAATGTCTGGTCTTGTAATTGTGAGATAATGAAGCCTACCAACCAGCCTTCTATAAACTTCACCATCCTTTAGCAAAGTTCCCTTGGAACTCAGCTTTACCTTTGTATCAATGGGAGTCTTACATCCCTTTGCTTCCAAATAACCTGTATCCTTTAATAAGTCCACACAATATTTCCTTTGACACACATTCAAACCATTTTGATCCCTGGTCACTTCTAGTCCAAGAAAATATTTCAATGGCCCTAGAAGTTTCAATTTGAACTCTCTGCTTAAGGCTGTCTTCACTTGATCTATGTCCTTCTGGGCATCACCTCCAACTAAGATGTCATCAACATACACCAGTATCACTGTTATCCTTCCATGCGTCCACTTGGTAAAAAGTGAGTAATCAGACATTGACTGAGAGAAACCCAACTTCAGTAGAAAACTGGTAAGCCTTGCAAACCATTGCCTGGAAGCTTGTTTCAGGCCATATAGGGACTTTTTCAATCTGCAAGTCATCCTTTGATTTCCTGTTGAGTTCACTTTCAGTCCTAATGGGATTTTCATGTAAACCACCTCATCCAATTCCCCATGTAAGAATGCATTTGACACATCCATCTGTTCCAAAGTCCAATTCCTCAAACTTGCAACTGCTAGGAAGGTTTTTACTGTGTTTATCTTAGCTACTGGAGAGTATGTGTCCAGAAAGTCTATTCCATAGACTTGTGTATAGCCCTTGGCTGCCAGTCTGGCCTTTTCTCTTTCCAATGATCCATCAGGCTTGAATTTGTATTTAAATACCCATTTGTTCCCTATCTCTTTAACATTTGGGGGTAATGGGACAACATCCCAAGTCTGATTCTCCTCTAGGGCATGTAACTCTGAGTTTACAGCCCTATTCCAAACATCAGATTTGATTGCTTCATAGTATGACCTAGGCTCTACTAGGTTCATAATATTCAGTACAAAGGATCTATCATTATGACTCAAACCATCAACATTCAAGCACAAAGGGTGTCTACTACAGGAATTTGATTTCCCATAGGTGCCAAAAGTAATGTTTGGGTCAAGTTCATAGTCCTTGTACTTACTTGGAAGTGTGGCCTTCCTTCGAGGTCTGTTCTCCATTGTTTGATCTACCAAAATATCACAGTCAACATCAGCTTGTTGTACCAACTCCTGTTCATCAGAATCAAAATAGTCATAGTGTTCATGCTGGCTGTGAGAACTTGTTGGTATACTTGGTACACTGTCAGGTGACTGGTCATCAGCAAGAGCTTCAGACTCAGCTTCCCCCCTTTCATCCATGGATGGATGAAACTGAGGAGAGGATACATGTAAACCAGGAGCAGGTTATGGTGCAACTGGTATAGATGGAGAGACAGAAGTAGTAGAATCTGGTGAACCAGATTCATCAGGGTAGTGGAAAGGAAGTATTTTCTCATAGAAAATAACATCCCTTGACACAAAAACCTGTTTGGTATGGATATCCATAACCTTATAACCCTTGATTCCTGCTGGAAATCCCAAGAAAACACACTGTCTGGCTCTGGGGGCAAATTTAGTTCTCCCATGAGCAAGGGTAGATGCATAGCACAAACTACCAAACACTCTCAAATGTGCCAAAGAAGCTGGTTTCTGGAAAAGAACTTCAACTGGTGATCTGTTTTGTAGAATTGGGGTTGGTGTGCGATTGATTAAGTATACAGCATGTAAAACACACTCACTCCAATACTCTAGAGGCAGTCCAGATTGAAATTTTAAGGCTCTGGCCACATTAAGAATGTGTTGGTGTTTTCTCTCTACCCTTCCATTCTGTTCAGGGGTTTCTACACAGGAAACCTGATGCTCTATACCTTCTTGAGAGAAGTAATCACACATCTGAAACTCTTTGCCTTGATCACTGCGAATGGATTTAACTGATTTGCCAAACTGATTTTTAACCAAACTGCAGAAGCCTTGTACTAAGCCCCTTACTTCACTTTTATGCCTCATTAAATAAATCCAAACACAACGAGTGCAATCATCCACTATTGTAAGAAAGTACTGATAACCATCATAGGAAACAACTGATAAAGGTCCCCAAATATCCATATGCAGTAAATGAAACATCTCAGGTGCTGCATTGTACTAATTGGAAAAGGCAGTTTGTGTTGTTTGGACAAATGGCAGACATCACAGTGTAATGGTTTCTGTTTAGTTACATTAGGGATGGTCTTGGAAAGAAAAGAAAGTCTATCATGACTAGGATGTCCTAATCTCCAATGCCATAAGTGAAGGTCTTGTGTCTGGTAGTTGAAGGTTGAGGCAGCTTGGTGGAAAGTTGGTGAAGGTAAAGGGGTAGAACTTTGAGGAAGAACCAGCTGGTAGAGACCTCTACACTCTCTTGCCAAACCAATCTTCCTCTGGCTTAGAAGGTCCTGAATTTCACAGTGATCAGAATGAAAGTGTAAGGAAATAGGGTGATCATGGGTTAATTTGCTGACTGAGATGAGATTGAAAGAAAAGGTAGGGACCAGAAGTACATCATAAAGAGATAGACCAGTGGGTAATTGGACTGTGCCTATACAGGTTACAATGACCCTGGTTTTGTTAGGTAAGAAAACATAAGTATCCTTAACTTCCTTATGAGCAGTAAACATGTTTAGGGAGCAAGCTATGTGGTCTGAAGCTCCTGTGTCTATTATCCACAGGTTGGAATTACTAGTTTGGTCAAGGTGAGAGGAAAAGGTGACATGTTTACCTGAGAAGTTAGGGAATGATGTGGGGTGTTGAAAGGCAGTAAAGGCTTGATGGTTGATGGATGGGGAGGTAGGAGGTGAAGGATAGGCATTAGTACCAACTTGCAGCAGGTTCCTGAGATGAGCCATTTCATCTGCAGTAAAAGCAAATGAATTTTGGTTCATACCTTCAGTAGTTGTATTACCTTCAGGATGATGATCACCAGCTGCATTTCCAGTACTCTGAGCAACAGAACCAGAAAATCTTGGTGTGCTAGAACTGGAACTTGAACTGGAGTTTGAATGCCCATCTTTCTGCTGTTCTCCCTGTTTCTTCTTCAACCACCAGCAATCTTCTATGTTGTGGTTTGTCCTCTTACAATAGCGACAATACTTCTTACCCTAGTTGGTTTCTGCAGAACCCTTCTGTTGTTGTTGACTCCCTGCAGCTAGAGCCAATGACTGATTCTTCTTTCCACCAGTCAATCCATCTGCTTTTAATTTCTGTTCATGCTGTAGTAAGTCATCAACAGCCTCTGAAACTCTTGGTAGGGGTTTTTGCATCAACAACTGAGTTTTGATTACTTCAAATTCTGGGTTGATTCCTCTCAGAAAACGAATGAGATAGTCTGTTTCCTGCTTTTGAACAAAAGCAGTTACTGCAGCACAAGGAATGAGTGACCCTGGAGCACAAGCACATGGAACCACAGGACAAAACTCAACGTATTCATCCCATAATCCCTTAATCTCTGTGTAATACTGATTAATTGACTTGGTTCCTTGTTTACAAGCCAAAATCTCATCCTCCAGGTTAGCAATTCTCATGGCATTTGGCTGTCCAAAACGCCTCTTAAGTTCTTCCCAGAGTGTCTCACAATTGCTGTGATTCAACACTGCCCTTTGCAGTTCTTTAGTCATAGAGTTTTGGATCCAGCACAGCACCACTGTATTGCAGGCATCCCAGATTCCAAACATATCTGAATCCCTAGAAGGCATTGCCACTGACCCATCTAGGAAACCCAGTTTGTTCTTTGTTTTAAGTACTACTTGTATAGATATACTCCACATAGTGTAATTTGTGCCATCAAACAACTCAGCAACCAAAGATTGAGCCATGTTTTCGTTTGGGTTGAGATAGAATGGGTTACCAAACGTAATGACCTCTGATGGCTGCTGCTGTTGTTGGCCAAAGGACCCAAATTGGACTCCACTGATATTGGAAGCACCACTGTTGCCATTGTTGTTGTTTGTTCTTCCTTGATTGCCAGGCGGCGGTGTAGATTGCTCTCCTGACATTTTGCTTGTGCAGCCTCAAACCCTAGGGCTTGGGTTGCTCTGATACCATGTGAAAAACGTAGGGTATTGAAAAATTGGAGGGGAAGCTCGGCTGTAAGCTGAGCTCTTTGTGGCTTATATAGCCACTTTTGTAATTAGCAGAAATGTAACACGTGTCCATACATCATTGGTTCTTTGATTTAAACTAACAGTAACATTAACGGCTAACTAGACAAAGCTAAAACGCTGCCGTTCATTTAAAGTCTTCAGCATCCATTCTTCTCTACGACACCGTCTTTCACAACACTTCTTTTCTTCTTCGTGACGACGCCGTCTTCAATTACTCTTCAATCTGAATCCAGTGAGGATTGCTTTCCTCTGCTGTTCTTCTTTGTCACCATCGATTTTCCATTGGTCCTATTGTCATCGCTTATTATCTGAGAGAGAGAGAGAGAGAGGAAGATTGTAGGATTAAGAGTTAGGGTTTCGATTTAAAGGGAAACCAGAGGGTTTCGTTTTGTTTGTTGTGTGTTTTGTTCGATTGAGAGAGAGTAAGAAACGAGAGAGGCGAGAGGTGAGAGGAGAGTGGCGGCGGTCGAGGAACGAGAGAGGCGAGAGTGGGAGAAGACAGCGGCGGCTAGGTTTTATTTTTGGTCTTCTCTGGAGAAGAGAACAGAGAACAGAGAAGAATGCCAAAGAGGGAGAGAGTTAAGCGGCGACTGATTTGGTCTATTAGGGTTAGGGTTCATTTTTTTTTGTTTAAGGTGTTTATATATCTTTCCAAATGACCCAAATACCCCTAGGGTTCCAAACTAATCACTCGACCTTGCCACTGCATTTTTCGGAATTTACAAAATTACCCTCCCCCCTCGCTACGCCAAAACGAAAAATTAACAAACAAAAAACTCCACCAGGACATGAACCAGGGTCATCGAGTGGGTGTGTCTGATAGCATGCGCTTTAGCCAGTGGGCTAGGCAGAAATCATTCGTTAGTCAATCCTATCCATTAGGTTATATTGTATCCTTAATACGATATTTTGATTGCAAAAGAATCCATTAGTTAGGTTAATTACCTTTTTTATAATACATCAAACCTCTTCCTAATAATTAAAATACTTGCTTTGCCATAACCTCATAATAATCTAGATGAAGTTTTATTAACAAAATTATAATACGAAAATCACGATCAGTGGAATGTGATTACAATTAAATTTTCAAAGTTGAAACGAACTACGTGGACCTTGATCCCGTCTAACGGGTACGTAGGCAGCCAAAAGGTTCGAGTCTAACTAATAAACTAACTTTATCTTTTAATTTTACGTATGTGGGCGTATAATTTAATTACAACTAATACGATTTAAATTCTTTAGTAGTCCAGTAAGGCCCTAAAAATACCAAATAATACGTCAATGGAGTTTAGCTAAATTATACCCAATGAAATAGCAATATATTAATGATCCAGTGGAATTTTAAAATACGAAATTATTACTAAAAATATACCTAACACATTTAAACCTACCAAACTTAAGTAGTATCGATTTATGGCGTTGTGAGGTGTGATTTCACTTCCCCACACGTAACCGTACTCCTGAACCCGAATCTCTTAACCGCAGACCATATCTCGGTTCTAACCCTAAGGTTACAGCCTATTCGAAGAGTGTTCGATCCACTCCAAGTAAGATCGATAGCGACTCCAAAAAAGCCAACACGACTACCTCGGACCCCCGAAGTGATATGATCCCAAATTGCCAACCATTCACGTCACAATTACTTGACAAAGAAGCCATCAAAGTTGGGGAAAAGAAGGGCAGAATTTGGCTAAGTCAAAATCCATGTTCAGGGTACATACTTTGGAGGCATGGTTCTCTCAATTTGCTTGGTGGAAATTCAAGTTTAAGGGTTTGTTTTGTAGATCAAGTTACCATCTTTCCAATGGTATGCTTTTTGGATCCAGAAGATGTCATTAAGGTTGTTTTCCAAGGCCTCAAAGTTGCTACCTCAAAACTGGAAAACTGCCAGAAAATGGTTTAAGTCTGGAAACTGTTTTGTGAAGCCTACTTTGGAGCTCAGTTCAAGGAGCATGGATCTGATTCGAGACCAAAGGCTTCTACAACATGAAACTAGGTATGTTTATATACCAAGGGAAGGAATTGGATGAAAGATTGAAGTTCCGGAAAGCCTTGAACAAAAGGCGCGAAGTTAGTATGAAAGCTGCTTTTGGACTGTTTGCTGGCAGCTTACTTGCACTTGAAGAAAGAGAGTTTAAATCCGAATTTTGAGTCCTTTTTAGAGTAGATTTTTACCTTAATTGTTTTCTAGTTCTATTAGGTTTGCATTAGGTTTATTTGCCTTTAAACACCTTTCTATTTTCGTTGTAAAAATTCAGACTTTGTTGAATAGAAAAGAAACCGTTTGGTTTGTGCAAGTTGCGACTTGTTTTGGGTTTGGTGGATTCCAAACTTGCTGAGCTTGTGTATCGATTGAATAGTCACTTCAATCGTGGTCGAGCAACTACCCTTTTATACCAATCGAGCTATCCCCAGGTGTGGATTTGTCCTTTTGGTTCCGTTTTATCCAAGTTCGTATTAAGAACGCGTTGTTCTTGATTCGAGTTCAATCAATCTTTAGATTGATTGTTTGCTGCGTTACTTTGATAAAAATACACCCCCCAGGGGCGTGTTAAGTGGTACCAGAGCCCGGTTCTACACAAGGGCGAAGAAGAAGGCGAAAACGTGTTATTTCGTACAAGCAGAATTCGTCGAGAAACAGGGCAGCCATGGTGGGCGAACTAGAACAAGCGAATTTGACGTCCTATACTCGCTGTTTGGTGGGTGAGAAGGTGTGCTCTGTGTACGTCAATAGTGAGAGCCAATCGAACTTGATTAGCTCACGGGCAGTAGCTAAATTGGGGCTTCCAATTCGAAAACATCCAGCCCCTTATTTATTGCCATTGTTGGAAGAAGAAGGTTTTGCTTTCGTGACAGAACAGGTGCTCTTGCAATTTAAAATTGGGAGCTATGTAGACGAGGTTCTCTGCGAAATAGTGCCTCTAAAATTGACTCATGTCGTGCTTGGCAAGCCTTGGCACGATGATCGCAATGCTCAACGCAGCAGAAGAACAAATCACATCAGGTTGAGGCATTGTGGGAAGCTTTTTGCTCTAAAGCTTCTGTCGCCAGAAGAAGCTGCTGAAGATCGATCAACCCTGCTGCAACAGCTCCGTGACGAGGAGGAAAAGCTGCTGGAGGTTTCTAACGGGGATCAACAGTTACGTGAGCCAGATGTCCAGCTCATTGAGGAAGTTCAAGCAACGGAAACAACAGCCTGCACCGATCGTTGTTTTTCATCGGCGAGACAGAGTTTGATGTCTCAAGACAACGACGTCAAGCAGAAGGACGATTCGAAGGACGTCACTACTTCTGGAAAGCCTCTGGACGTTCAAGGAAAGATGTTTCCATCACCAATCGCTTCAGGTCAACATGGAATCGAAGAAGTTGAGTCTTCAGCCGCCATCAGACACTGTTCTTCCTCAAGGAAACAGAGCAGGAAAGAGGGAGAGTTGGGTGGCGATCTCGGAAGCAAGTCGACCTAGCCCAATGCTTCCAATACATTCCCTCCAGCTACAGAAAGCTCTCCCCTCGATCGAAATGTCACGAATCGATCTATGCTGCAGAATCAAAATCGAGTTCCAAAGCCTCTGGAACCGCAACCGCAAGAAGGAAAACACGCTCAATTGGTTGGGGAGATTGGGCGCAATCCGACGCAAGCGGCCATTGAAGAATCGTTCGTTGAGGTCCCAGGAACGTGCCAGATCCACCAATTCATCCCTTCGAAGCGTGAACAAAAAACACCCAATTTCCAATTGAAAAATCTGGGTTCGAAATTGGATGACGGCGGGAAAGAGGAACTCGATGATTCGACAAAAATGGTGATGATTCGAGCCTGTGGGAAGGTCCAGAATTTCAATATGAAGCCTGGAGAAGGGCTTGGAGTGGTTCAATTGGACTGAAAATCGTCGAAACGAAAATCCCCAATTCATTCGAGCAAGAACTGGTACGCAGAAGCAGTCCGACGACCTGGAAAGTTTTCCAACCGCGTTCAGGTGGAATTGATCGTCGAGGAAGGTTTTTGGCAAATTCAGGAAGAGTTTCCAACAGCTCTGCAAGCTTCCAAGCCCTTGGACGAGTTCGAAGTTGAGTATGCAGCTGAAATTTTTGCGTCGAAAAGGATGATCGAGCAGCCCACCTTCGATCCAATTTGGGATCAATTATGCGTCCAGTTTGATCAATTAAAGGCTAAAGTGTTGAGGGCAACACTTTTTCAAGAGGGAGGGCCTGATATGATCCCAAATTGCCAACCATTCACGTCACAATTACTTGACAAAGAAGCCATCAAAGTTGGGAAGAAGAAGGGCAGAATTTGGCTAAGTCAAAATCCATGTTCAGGGTACATACTTTGGAGGCATGGTTCTCTCAATTTGCTTGGTGGAAATTCAAGTTTAAGTGTTTTTTTTTCAGATCAAGTTACCATCTTTCCAATGGTATGCTTTTTGGATCCAGAAGATGTCATTAAGGTTGTTTTCCAAGGCCTCAAAGTTGCTACCTCAAAACTGGAAAACTGCCAGAAAATGGTTAAGTCTGGAAACTGTTTTGTGAAGCCTACTTTGGAGCTCAGTTCAAGGAGCATGGATCTGATTCGAGACCAAAGGCTTCTACAACATGAAACTAGGTATGTGTATATACCAAGGGAAGGAATTGGATGAAATATTGAAGTTCTGGAAAGCCTTGAACAAAAGGCGCGAAGTTAGTACGAAAGCTGCTTTTGGACTGTTTGCTGGCAGCTTACTTGCACTTGAAGAAAGAGAGTTTAAATCCGAATTTTGAGTCCTTTTTAGAGTAGATTTTTACCTTAATTGTTTCCTAGTTCTATTAGGTTTGCATTAGGTTTATTTGCCTTTAAATACCTTTCTATTTTCGTTGTAAAAATTCAGACTTTGTTGAATAGAAAAGAAACCGTTTGGTTTGTGCAAGTTGCGACTTGTTTTGGGTTTGGTGGATTCCAAACTTGCTGAGCTTGTGTATCGATTGAATAGTCACTTCAATCGTGGTCGAGCAACTACCCTTTTATACCAATCGAGCTATCCCCAGGTGTGGATTTGTCCTTTTGGTTCCGTTTTATCCAAGTTCGTATTAAGAACGCGTTGTTCTTGATTCGAGTTCAATCAATCTTTGGATTGATTGTTTGCTGCGTTACTTTGATAAAAATACACCCCCCCAGGGGCGTATTACGAAGGGACGGTTGCGACATGGAGAATGACATTTTTGAGGAGTTGGTGTCGAGTTTTTCAATACCTTCACCATCCTCACGAAAAATAGCACGCTCGGCGGCGGAAGGAAAATTCCACTTGGGTGGGGAATGGCACAAAATGTATTTGTCGAGTTTGGCCGATCATTGGTAGTTTACGGCGGGTGTGAGGACGAGTGGGATGAGGACACCATCAGAGTTTGCGACCTGAATGCAACATATCAAAGGTTTTGCCTACCGGAGCATCGAAGAACACCGTTTCGATCGGCACTCACATTGGCGTCCATACTCAAGCCACAATGGCGCATCATTAATGCACTCCTAGCCCGTTCCCTCTACCCAAGCTGTAACAATCTGAATAAGATAACCAAGAGGATCTTGTTGGCATTTGCTTGCATGGTGGACCCGTTTAGCAACCTTCATATTGGTTCAGTCTTGGCCACCTCTTTTGCCAGAGCCATAGGGGGCAAACGACGATATATCACATCAATGGGGACATACATTACTCGTCTTGCCCGTCACTTGAATGTCAATCTAGCGGGCTGCACATATGAGGGGCGCTCCACGGGGGTTCGAAGAGAGCACTTTGCATTCCATGCAATTGCTGGGATCATTTGGACCATTCTGGTTCATTGAGGGACTACCTCTACCACCAGAGGTACCACCTGAAGAGAAGTCACCTGCTCGAGCTCCGGGCCGCTGCCGGCGTCCCACGCTCTACCGCTCAGTACCAGCAGCAGAAGCAGCACCACCCACTGGTATTCCCCTCGGCGAGAGGATGGATCGCCTTGAGACCCACGTTGTGGGAGTGACTTCCCGACTCGACCAGCTGATGACGCAATATTTGCACATGTTTTCCCCTTTGTTTCTTGATCGTTTAAGCTTGCATTGTTGCTTCTTTGGCCTATTTTACGCTAGGTTGTGTTCCTTTGTCACATTTCAGGTCCTAGCACATAAAGTGAAGCATAGGCGCAAGTTTCAAGTCAATCGGAGATCAATTGGCGACTCGGGGGAAGAAACTCGGGTATGACTTGAAGAAGAAGGGATTTCTACCTCCGTTTGTGACCATATAATCATGTAATCTTATCATGAGAAGAAAGAGGACGAGACTACGAGCGTCTGGGATCAAACGGCACCTGATTTGGAGTGCGAACGAGGGAGAAACGAAGAATCAAAGATAGGGGAAAATTGGTTTCGGGCTTCTCTGAGAAACAGAAGGGGCCCTATCGTGATCCAAAAATCCCCGGTCGTGACCTAAAATACCCGACTGGGTATTTTGACCGGGGATCGCGAACGCAGGCTATTAAAAGCCTGTTTTGTGCGTTTTTGCAGGGGAGAGCTGGGTTTTGGATCCCAAACACCCTAGGGACGAACCAAAGAGAGAGAGGGCAATTTGAAGGCATTCTAAGAGGGGAATTGGAGGATTTCTTCGCCTTGGAAGCTCGAGGAATAAGCCCGGACTTGAAGACTCATCATCTGAAGATTCTTACTGCAGTCTCTCTCTTCTCTATGGAGTAACTTCCCTTCACTTAGGTTTTGAGGAACCCTAGCTATGATTGTTTGATTGGATGATTGTAATGAGTACTCTTACTTGATAATCTTGAGTTCATATTCAATCTATGCATGTTTTCACGATTCAATTCTGCTTTAGTCGAGATTATTGATTATGCTTTGATCCTATGAGAGCGAATACCTGATTAGGTCAATAGAGCACCATAGATTGATAGTAGTGGATCGATTGCTTTAGTCGAGGGTTGATTCACTGCTTTGTATCGATTGAGAACCTCTTTCGATAGAGGGAGTCTAGTTCAGAACGCCTTGATCGGTTGTGCTAGAGAAGGATACGTCCCTCTAGGAAATTGACTCAAGAGGGCCTTGTTCCTTTAGTCGAGACTCAAGGTCTAGTCGAGGATTCTCCGCATTGTGGATGAAAGTGAAACAAGTTAGAGATCATCAATAGTTAATCTGGCTAGTGGCTAGGGGGAATCATACCTGAGTGAGTTCCCAACCTGTAATTAGATTAACTTTAACTGTAGTTTGCTAGAGTATTTTTAGTTCTTTCATCTTAATCTAGTTTGCTAGATAATGAACCGAAGCTGAGTAATAGTAACTCTAGAGACCCGTGGATTCGATATTTATTACTTGAGCCACTATACTGCAGTCCCTTTCATTGGTTACACTTGGCCATTGTTAGGAGTTGTGTCATAGCGAGTCAAGTTTTTGGCGCCGTTGCCGGGGACTTTCTAGATTAGGAAAGGCAGGAGTTTGTTATTTTAGCGTTTTTCTTTTCTTTTCCACCCTTGCTTTTCACTTGGGTGTTTTTTTTTGTTGGTGCAGATCTTAATCATGGATCCTCATGGCTTCTCCAATCATTGGGGGTATCCACCACCATCCAAGTGGTATTACCCTGAGACTCCCTGGAGCAATCAAGGAGGAGAAGACTATGGATTTGGGTTCCAGTATCAACCCCCTTACTATGGAGAACAATTAGACCACTGGGCATATCAAGAACAACCTCATTACCAAGAAGACTTTCCCCCACAACCAGAAGGGCCAACGGAGCTGGAGTTACCCATGGCGGCCTTCACGGGCCATTCTGCAAAGACATGCTACACTCCACAGCCAGATCCAAACCATGAATTAAGGCTTCTGATGGAGCAGTTTGCTCGAGACAGTGAGAGATCATTGTCTAGGATGGATCTTTGTACCCAGGCCTATCGTGAAACAGAGGAGATCCTCCTAAGCCTTAAGAAGAGCGTCGATGATCTTGAGCGATCTTTTGTACAACCTGCTCCAGATCACCCTTATGCTACCATACTAGAAGAGGAGGAGGAAGAAGAAGGCTACAAGGACATGGTGGAGCACACAGAAGTTGTCACGGAGAGCTCCCGTGATGATCATGATCAGGAATGTCCTGTCATAGTCGACCACACCTTCCCACATCCAAATCTGAGCTTTGAAGAGGCGGACATGAGTGAGGAGATGAAAGAAGATCTCATGAAAGAAATTTCTTGGCAACTTGCTCTCCAATCCGTGCTAGAAGAAGAAGAGAAAGGAAGGGTGCAGAAAGAAGTTGTGGAGGATGACGAAAGTGAAGCAGGAGGAGTTCTTGATCATTTCCCAGGGGTGATACCACATGAACAAGGAAGGGAGGTTGAAGAAGCAATTGGCGTCCAGGCCGAGGACAAAGTTGAGGTGGAAGAGGCCTGCACCGGCCATGAGTTGCAAGTAATATCCCCACCAAACTTTGAGGAACTTCTTAGCAAGGACCCATTTGCAGTGTCTCTTTGCCAGACCAAGGCCACATCGACACCGGTCCCTCTTGGTGGACGCGATGGTGGTCAATCGATGTTGTCATATCTGGTTTGGGGTAATGAGACGAGAGAAGAGAAGAAGAGGTCTCGAGGGTGGAGACTTCATCTGCATCAAGTGCACGAGCTTCCATCTACTGTCATACCACATGCTCGTGACTTGAGATTCCACCTCATCGACGAGAACCTCAAATTCAAAGGGGTTTTGGGGTGGACCAAAACTTAGGAGCCATCGTCCGGCTCACGACATGAAAGAAGCGCTTGTTGGGAGGCAACCCAACCAGTCGGTTTGCATTTCTTTCCCTATTTCTCTTCGGGTGAGTCAGTTTTGTTCTTTGATTTTAGAGTCAATAACTCAACCTTTGTGAGATTTTGTGTGGTGTTTGTGTTTCGACTACTCTCTCCTCCTGGAATGCACCGCCTGCCCCGTCCACCATCATTCACCCTTGATCTGGTAACTTCGTTCTACCCTCCTTATCTTTCCTCCATTGAGGACAATGCCATGCTTAAGTGTGGGGGGATGTTCGATTATGAATGCGTGTGAATGTTTGGCTGTTTGTGTGCTTGGAGCCTAGTCCACTGTCCAAATTTCGATTTGAGGGCTCCAAGTACGTGTTCCTTGCAATTGCCTGCTCAGTATGCTTTGAATTGACAGTCTTTATAGTAATATGCAACCTAGGGAGGTAGTGTAGCACTATGGAGGATGTTGATGCATTTAAGAAGTCTCCTTTCTTCTTCATATTGTGTTGGTTGATTGTGTGAATTAGTGATCTTAGGACCCTTGAATTGTGTGGTGTTGTGGATTCTATACCTGTCATGGACTCCTGTATCATGTTTTGAAATAAAAGGTGCTCGATAATGTGCTTTAAAATAACGTCTCCTGTGCGAATAGGGTGAAAGTGTGTAAGGGGAGACGAGAATTCGTTCCCAATTTCCACCTACTACCTCAGCCCTCTTACATTCCTTTTCCCTGCACGAGGCTCGAGACATTCGCTCCCGGCATGGCCGGTAAGAGCCGGGTTCCCGCAAAACCTTTGCTAGGTGGGAGCCCCGTTTTCTGAAAATTGGGTTGGAACCCTTGAAAAAGAAAGAAAAAAAAAAGAGAACAAAAGAAAAGGAAAAAAGGGGTTCCAACCGTCTTAAAAAAAAATAAGAGCACCTTGAAAAATGTGAGTCCATGATCTTTTGTTTTTGAGAGTCTCTTCGTCCACGATTAATTTGTCCTCTGATCACTATTTGCCATGATGCCGACTCGAGACTAGCGTTCTCGCCGAAGAAGCTATGAGATGACTTGTGCGTCGGTTGACCTCGTAAGCTGCTAAATGATATAGAAAATCCTCTATCAAGGATCGAGGGTGCATGTTGATACAGAGGTCTGGAGAGCTGCATTGGTTTGCGTTAGGTTTGCTTGGGGACAAGCAAACGGTTAAGTGTGGAGGGATTTGCTGACTCGATATTTGCACATGTTTTCCCCTTTGTTTCTTGATCGTTTAAGCTTGCATTATTGCTTCTTTGGCCTATTTTACGCTAGGTTGTGTTCCTTTGTCACATTTCAGGTCCTAGAACATAAAGTGAAGCGTAGGCGCAAGTTTCAAGTCAATCGGAGATCAATTGGCGACTCGGGGGAAGAAACTCGGGTATGACTTGAAGAAGAAGGGATTTCTACCTCATTTTGTGACCATATAGTCATGTAATCTTATCATGAGAAGAAAGAGGACGAGACTACGAGCGTATGGGATCAAACGGCACCTGATTTGAAGTGCGAACGAGGGAGAAACGAAGAATCAAAGATAGGGGAAAATTGGTTTCGGGCTTCTCTGAGAAACAGAAGGGGGCCCTATCGTGAACCAAAAATCCCCAGTCGTGAACCAAAATCCCCAGGTCGTGACACAAAAATCCCCGGTCGTGAACCAAAAAAATCCCCGGTCGTGACCTAAAATACCCGACCAGGCTGTTAAAAGCCTGTTTTGTGCGTTTTTGCAAGGGAGAGCTGGGTTTTGGATCCCAAACACCCTAGGGACGAACCAAAGAGAGAGAGAGGGGGATTTGAGGGCATTCTAAGAGGGGAATTGGAGGATTTCTTCGCCTTGGAAGCTCGAGGAATAAGCCCGGACTTGAAGACTCATCATCTGAAGATTCTTACTGCAGTCTCTCTCTTCTCTATGGAGTAACTTCCCTTCACTTAGGTTTTGAGGAACCCTAGCTATGATTGTTTGATTGGATGATTGTATGAGTACTCTTACTTGATAATCTTGAGTTCATATTCGGCTTTTGCCGAGATTATTGATTCTGCTTTGATCCTATGAGAGTGAATACCTGATTAGGTCAATAGAGCACCATAGATTGATAGTAGTGGATCGATTGCTTTAGTCAAGGGTTGATTCACTGCGTTGTATCGATTTAGAACCTCTTTCGATAGAGGGAGTCTAGTTCAGAACGCCTTGATCGGTTGTGCTAGAGAAGGATACGTCCCTCTAGGAAATTGACTCAAGAGGGCCTTGTTCCTTTAGTCGAGACTCAAGGTCTAGTAGAGGATTCTCCGCATTGTGGATGAAAGTGAAACAAGTTAGAGATCATCAATAGTTAATCTGGCTAGTGGCTAGGGGTAATCATACCTGAGTGAGTTCCCAACCTGTAATTAGATTAACTTTAACTGTAGTTTGCTAGAGTATTTTTAGTTCTTTCATCTTAATCTAGTTTGCTAGATAATGAACTGAAGCTGAGTAATAGTAACTCTAGAGACCTGTGGATTCGATATTTATTACTTGAGCCACTATACCGCAGTCCCTTTCATTGGTTACACTTGGCCATTGTTAGGAGTTGTGTCATAGCGAGTCACCGGCAGACTGACCTACTTGAGCAGATGGCTCGTCGCCAGGGCCTCATTCCAGATGATGAGCCGAGGCCTTCGATCTAGTAAGAGGTAGCCGACAAGGGAGATATGTGGCAGAGCAAATTCTTTTCGCCCCACTACTCCACTTGTAACTTTGAACTCTTTTGTTTTATTTTTCTTTGTTTTATTTTGTGTCTGTGATCATAAACTACTACTATTGTATTATGATGTGTAATAACCTCACGAGCGAGTCGTATTGAGTTTATGTATGTATGTTTTTGTCTTCTCCTTGTAGCTTCAATCTCCTACCCGGGAACCAATTCCAACTTTCACTCACCAAGCAAAGCGGTAAGATCGTTCTACCCCTTTCTTACGCCATTGAGCTCAATGTCGAACTTAAGTGTGGGAGGGGGGTAGTTTATTCTTATGCTTGTGTGAGTGTGATTGATGGTGCTTGGAGCCTTGATGTATGCCCCGATTTTGAAAAATTTGATGGCTCCAAGCAGTGTTTGCATGATCAAAGTGGCGAGTTTGTAGGAGAATCTCGTGTTTATTCGCATTGACCTTGAATTGTTGCATGTGATCGAGTGTGTCCTATGATGATGACAGAGAGGTTCATTAGGATAGTGCAAAACTTTGGTTCTCATATGTGCAAAAATGAATGGATGTCTTGACTCGATTACTTGTTGATTACAATTGCCATGCATTGTGTTTTGTGAAAGTGGAATGAATTATTGGGTGACTAGGTAGCCATTTGAGTATTGAGCCGATCGTTTTCTTCTTGCGTGTTTAGATCCCTCGTACCATGGCGAGTGACATCACAGTTGTCACTAGTGAGTATGATGAAGGCATATGATTAGTCAACTCCTAAATGTTGATTGTACCGAAATGTTTTATCCCCTAGTCAACCCCTTTGAGCTTTGTGACTTCGGGGGTCGTTCTAATGATAGGAGCTTTTTGCTTGCGAGCTTAATGGTGTTTGACAGAACGGCCGTCCATCCTTTCTTCGTGTCTATACGTGTGTCGTCCTTGTGTCCCGGAGCTCTCGCTTTTTGAGTTCCATCGAGGTTCTACATAGGACGATTGTGCGTGGTTCTTGCTAGGAATGAAAGAGAAAAGAGTGGTGTTGGAGTGATTTCTTAAAAGAAGAGCATTGGTTGTTAAAAATTGTGTGGCAAGTGTTTAACTCTTAGTACCCCCTTGAAAAGAAAGGAAAAAGACAGAAAAGGGAAGTAGAAAGAAGAAAAAAGAGGCAATAAAACAGGGTCAATAAAGTAGAGAGTGCCACAAAAGCTTCGAAGAGTCTGCTCTAAGATGGGGTTTCTTGGAATTCAAGCCATTGAAACCCCCACATCATTATTTTAGAACTCCTTCACTAACAATGTTACACCCCAACCTTTGGGTTCAGGTTCAACCTTAATACGTGAACAATTTGGTTAACGTTTACATACTAAGGATCGCAACCGCGAATTAGGATAATAATAATAATAACTATAATTATTATTATTATTATAAAAAAAAGAGGAAAATGCAAAGAGGGCGCTCTGCCCTCATTGTCTTTTTCCCATCACCCCCACGCAAAAACCCTTCCCCATTTAACCCACCTCCCCCATCAGTCGTCAACCACTGCTTCTTTTTTCCTTTTGTCTACGTGTAGCAGAGGGAGAAAATGAAAGGAGGCAACAATAAGACGAGCGGGAGGAATTAAAGGGGATGTCTTGGACGAGCGGAATCAATTAGGCGAACAAAATTAATTGGGCGAGGGGAAATTTGCTCGCGCTTGGTTGGGACAGCGAGCCCGACGATGGACGACGAGGTAGGGATTCCAGGAAAAAATCCCACTGTACACACGTTCTTAAAAAAAATTCCCAAAATACATGAGTTATAAAAAAATTTCCCAAAGTACACATGTTTGAGCATCACCGTTTTAGACAAAAGCGGTGAAGGTCATCACCACGTTTGACGAACACGGTGAATACTTCATCGTCTTAAACAAAAACGGTGAAGTATTCACCGTTTCAAACTAAAACGGTTAAGTTTTCACCTCGTTAATTAACAACGGTGAACACATCACCGTTTTGGTCAAAAACGGTGAACCCATTCATCGTTGTTAAGTAACGCGGTGATCATTTCCCACGTTTCCCACCCCTGGTAGGTCAAAATTAGGTCGCAGCTACCACCTATTCACCGTTTGAGACAAACGCGGTGATGGTGTTCACCGTTTTCGACAAAAACGGTGAATAGTAGGCAAATTTTCCTATAAATTGCACACCACCAGCAGTTGTAAAAACATAACCACTCCCCTTTCTTCAAATTTCAGCAGCCAAAATCGAGCATAATACACAGAACAGAAATTTTTCGGTATGTTGAGACTTTTCGTATTATAGTCTAATTATGTTTTTAGTAGTTATAGTATGATTTAATTTTCGTATTATGTTGTTGTTAGTTAGTTGAACTTATGTTCGTTAGTTATAGTATGATTTAATTTTCGTATTATGTTGTTGTTAGTTAGTTGAATTTATTTTCGTTAGTTATGGTATGATTTAATATTAGTTGTACAATATGATTTTGGTTAATTTTACTGTCTTTAAGGTAATAGATACTTATTGTAAATTGTAGATATGGGTAAATTCAAGAAGTTTCATCTTACTATTCGGTGGAATGGAAGGGTGACAAACTCTGACATAGGCATTGATTATGAGGACGGCGAATCCATTATGCTGAAAATTGATTCCCGATTCAATTTTCAAGAACTCTGTGATCTTTGTGCAGAAAGGGTTTGTACGAGCGGACAGACGAGACTTGGCAAAATTACTTACCGGTATCCAGACATGAGTGCTGGCGGGGTCGTGTTCCAAGAAGTTGTCATAAACGATGATGACGCGGTTATGATGATGTTACAGTTCCTGAGCGATAACCAAGTCCGGCTTGCAGAGGTGTATGTTGAGACCGAGGCGGTCGGTGAATCTCATTCTCACCAGTATTCTTATGATGATGGTTTTGCAGGAGGGTACGAATGGGGTGGTAGTTCGAGCAACTACCAAGGCGGTGGTTATACAAGAGGTTACGGGGAGGGTGGTCACAATCGTCAAACGGTTAAATTGCACTACGAATTAGGGGAGTGTTCTTGTCAAAAGTATCAGAACGAAAGGATACCCTGTTCACATGCAATGGCGGTTGCTAAGTCAATAACCATGAACAGAAACAGCCTGGTGAGTCCTTACTATCCAGAAATAGGAAGCCCGGTGAGGATCGCCACGTCTTTGAGGGTGATCGTCATTTCCCCCTCCGGAAGGTGGAATGTATGGGTTTCGGGACGCCATCGTTCTGCCATTGCCGTAAGCAGATCGTTGTCGATCTCGATCCGCAAGAAATGGCGCAACATTCCCAAACCGGTCCTCGCTATGTAGGGCTCCAACCTTGGATGCCAAGCGGGCAAGTTATTGGTCCCTTTATGAACCACGGGAACAAGCGATTCCTAAAACAAATAGGGAAAACAACAATTTATTAGATTAAATAAAGCAAAATAAAACCTTAGGAAATAATAAAATAAAGCAAGAATACTCAAAAAATTACCGGATAGTTATCCCAAATAGCACGGGAGCGATGAGCTTCTTGATCGGTTAAGAGACTCGCATCCCTTGGGCCATAATGGATATACAATCGAGGATCGTATATCTCGGCACCCATCTATAAAAAAGTAATGAAATCAGAGATTGTTTTGATAAAAAAAAAATCAAATTGTTTTGATTAAAAAAAATTCATAAACCAAAAACCTACACGAAGAGCCTCTTCGTCCATTTTTTGGCGTAGGCCGGACAGAGGTTCGACGATTTTAGGTTTGTAAGGGACGGGAACTTAGCGGGACGGGGGCTTTAGGGTCAAACTCTAGTAATTCTTTCTGATGTGGAAGATCGGACTTAGCCGCAACCACAGAGCATACTTAGAACGAGACTAGAGCGGATAAATTGAGGGAGAAAGAAGTGAAATGTTTGTGTGGTGAGTTGAAAGTGAAAGGGGAAGGGGGTATTTATAGTTGGGGGAAGGGGGGAGGAGCTGATGCGCAGTTATTAGGGGAGCATTCACCGCGTTTGAGGAACGCGGTGAACTCCTCGCATTAACCAAAAACGGTTACTTCAAAGGTGACGTGGCGTGCTGTGAGGCGTCGGATCGTGGGAAGAAAACCACGATCTGCGCCTCACCGCATCTAACGGCCACGGTGAAAGCACACTGGCGCGGATCGCTGACGCAAACAAACACGGGGTATTCACCGTGTTTGTCTAACGCGGTGAATACCCCGTGTCTGTCCACGTCAGCGACTTCACCGTGGCCTACAAAAACGGTGAAGTTCTCACCGTTTTTGATTAAAACGGTGATTTCTTCACCGTTTCAGTTTAAAACGGTGATGCATTCACCGTTTTAGACTAAGACGGTGAAGGCATCACCGTTTTACTTTAAAACGGTGAAATTTTCACCGTGTTTATTAAACGCGGTGATAACCTTCACCGCCTTTGTCTAAAACGGTGATGCTCAAACATGTGTACTTTTGGAAATTTTTTTATAACTTATGTATTTTGGGAATTTCTTTTAATAACTAGTGTATAGTGGGATTTTTTCCGGGATTCCGCTACTTAAATGAATAGAAGTGGGACCAAGATAATGGCGGAAGTTTCCTTTGTTGGCTGAGTCGGAGGAGTTTCTGAAGCCCGATTATAGTACACGGTGATGGCGCGAGCGATAACCAGAACGGATCAGGTCAGTAACTTTATGGTCAGTAATCATAAGTAACATGTCCACATCAGCATGACATCAGTATCATTTCTCTCCTGGAAAGTCTTTTATTTTTTCTCCTTTAATCTTTAACGGACGATTTATCTCTCGTTTTAAGTCGAAATTTAATTTTTATTTGCACAGATAAATCAGATTAAATGTGCTTTTAAAATTATATCAACTTTGATATATTTTTAGTACAGAAAAAATTGAATAATTTTTTACCAGTCATTATCATATGGTATGCTCCTATTTAATACTATATGGTAAGAAAGCGTATCATGATGGTATGAACATACCAATATGGTAAGAAGGTTGAATACATGATAGTAAGAATATACTAACTATCATTTACGACTTTCATCATTGTTTACTACAAGTTACCACCCACATACCATAGTGATAAAGTATGGTAATTTTTTATCCAGTATTTTTTTCACCCAGAAATTTATAGATCTAATAGATCATGATGAACTCGTTCCTTCTGAACAAACATTTTCAAAAACGACTTAAAAACGAAGAAGTTACCATATGGTATGTAGTTGGTAAAAAAAAGTTTATCGAAATATATTGAAAATTGATCTCATTTTGTAAAGCACAACGAACTCGGTCCATCTGTGCAAAAAAAAAAAAAAATTGAAATCCGAGTTAGAACGAAGAAGATAAGAACCGATTAAGAAAACCAGAGAAAATAAAATGCCTTTAATTGAGAACCCTTAAATCTGATTTTTATGGACCTACTTAGATCTAAAGATCCAGATTTTATGGTTCCTAATTGAGAACCATTGGTTACTGACCCTATCCTAAGCCAGCGATAACGCAATGTTAGGGGTGCAATCGGTTGATGGTCAGGGAAGGAGGCATATCTAATTTAATGGTGATGATGATGTATGCGTTGAAGTGGAGAGAAAAGCACGGGATATTGAGGGACCAACAAGAGGATGGCTGAAGTGTGTTACTCCCTATTATAAGGCTAAGGTGAGTGTAAAGGGGGTAAATTCTACGCCTTACGAGTTCTTTCAAGTATTACGAGCTTTAAGTATTTTGATGAAGTGATTGTCGTTGGTTGATTGTTCTTATGGTTGATGATATGTGATTTTGTTTGAGCTATGTTTGAAGTGAATGTGCATGAGTTATAATTTACTTTAAAGCTTTACGTTTATAGGTTATTAAGAAACAAGTTCTTTTTTAAGAAATAACTCATCTTCAAGAAGGTGAAGTCGTTTTAAGTGTTTCTAGTCACTAGCGCCAGTCCATTGCCATTTGAGATTTTTCGACAGAGCAGCAGTTATGCTCTTGAGACCTTTAAGATGAGCAGCAGTTATGCTCTTGAGAATCGTGGAAGAAGAGCCTTCCACGATAAGTTTAAGTTTAAGGAAAGCCTTGATGGCTTCTCATACGTATGAGTTGGAAATTGGACTAGCTAGTGAGGGATCCCCGTGTTAGTCAAGTATTTAAGTTGAGATTTGAGCTTTAAGAATGGACAGTAACAATCACTCCCATACATTTTTAAGAGTTAAGCTTTTTAATAGTGGAAGTACAAAACAACTTCCACTTAGTTAAGTAAAGTGATCAAGTATTAAACTATTAATAAGATGTTAAACGTAAGAGCGTAGACTGACCCCATCTCACTCACCAGTTTGAAGAGCTAGAGGAGGAGCTAGAGGATTAGTTAGTGAGCAACCAGTTCAAGGACAACCAGCTAGAGGAGGGCAGTATAAGCGTCACAGAGGATGCTTTGTCAAGGTTTTTAGTAGTAGCAACGCTAGAGATTATCAGTTATTTACATTTATGATTATGAGTATAGACTGGAGATCATTTTGAGATTTTAAGTATTGAGTTTGCCCATGTGTTAGGGCATTGCTTTGAACTACAAGTGTGTGCTTTCAGTATTTTATTTATGAAATTTTTTTTCCCGCTGCAATTTAAGATTTGAGTATTTTATTTATCAAAGGCATTTTAGTAAAAGTAGTACCCAGCCGGGTTAGGGTGTTACAACCAAGTCAAAATGTGATATCAAGAGTAGACCGAGGAAGAGCGCTTAAAGGTAATTCATGATGGGTGATAGGTTGGAAGGGAGAAGAAAGGTTTTTGGCCGATGCTAGTAGCCATTGTTTGTAGGGAAAGTTCTTAGTCGAAACCATAGAACCTTCGGGTTTAGGGTGAAGATGTAGGACCTCATGATGTGTTTGCCACCACCTAAAAAGCCTTTTGCCCCATGTCTAAAAAAATTGCCAGTTATTTGAACCCGTGTCTAAGACATCTAGACAAGCTAGTGATGACAACCGTCCCGTGAACAGTAACAATTAGAGGTTGCCGCCATGGTGAAGAGACGATAGGGCTGAGTGTTGAAGATTGTGCACATTCTTTACACCAAAATGGTCACGACCCCACTGGTCAAGAGAGTGAGTGATTCATTCTTGCTTTGCATTGCATATCATACCACGGTGAGGACCTTTGTTGCCCCTTCGTTCGTTCCTTGGACTTGAATGATATGCATGGTTAGTTGTGGTTGATAAGTGATCTTGTTGAGACTTTCATTGATTCATGAACAAGGTGGAAACTTTTCGTTTGCCTGTTTTGGTGACCTCGAATATCGTTTGTGGTGGATGTCGGTATTGCTTGCAACGGTCCATGTATTAATTGCCAATAGCCATTGAGATTCTCCAATTTGTGCCCTTTGATTTGTCTCCAAAATATTTTGTTAGGTTGAGAGATTAACTTGTGTGTAATGGTTTGCTTGGGTACAAGCAAACATCTAAGTGTAGGGGAGTGATTCGGGCCTAATTGTACACTTTTTATCCCAGATTCTCATTGACGTTTGTTGCAATTGAACTCCAAAAAGGTTGGTTTTACACGAGGTTGCTTGTGTTTCAGTGTGTTTCAGATCCTAACAGGTAAAACCAAACGTGGTGTCGAAATTGGAAGAAAATGAGCAAAGACCAGACAAAGAGGTGGAGACAGCCGCTGTTCATGGCTTGACGTTGGAGTTCACGGTCTTACAGGACCGTGAACTGGAGCCATGACCTGTCAAGCGATGAGCGTCCAGAGGGGGTTTGCAAGTTACTGACGCCCAGGCTGTTCACGATCGCTAAGACCGTGAATAGAGGCCACTGACCGTGAACCTGAGCAAATGAAGCGGTGCATTTTGGTCGTAGCACTGAGTTCACAGACGCGTTTCAATGTTAACGGCCGTGAACTGGGCGCAATGTCCACTTAAAAGGAAACTGAAAGGAAGAAGAAAGGGAGAGAGACCTAGTGTGAAAAACTTCTCCTTCTTCAACTTTTAGAGTGAGAAAGTGTCGAAACAAAGAAGAGGAAAAGCTAGGGTTTCATCTCCAAGCAAGGTTTTGGGAATTTCTTCCCCAAAGGAAGATTTATTCAACACAAGGAGCAAGGGTTGCATCTTCTTGATGGTTTCCCTTTACCTCTCTTTCGTTTTCCCTTCTCCTAGCATGGAGTAGTCCCTTCTTTCACTTGGGCGTGTGTGAACCCTAGCTACAATTATGTAAATGCTTGTATAATTGAATGATTTGTGTGTGGTTGTGTTTTAATGTGAATGTGGAGGTATTATTCAGAAATGATTGTGTTGTGTGAAAGCCTATCAATGTAATTGCCATTCTAACCTAGCTTAGAGAGGAGACCTCCTTAAGTTATAAGGCTTAATTTGAGGTGGGTGTTCTTCAGAATTTCATGCCTCCTAGGCTAGTTTAGAGAGGAAACCTCCTTAGGTTAAGAGGCTCAATATTGAGATGGGGTTCTTGGGCATTTCATGCCTCCTATGCTAGTTCAGAGAGGAAACCTCCGTTACCTAGAGGGCCTCGATTCGAGCCGGGTTTCGTTGGGCATTCAATGCCTCCTAAACTAGTTTAGAGAGAACCCTCCTTAACCTACGAGGCTCATTTCGATATGGGTTTCCTTTGGCATTCAATTCCTCCTAAGCTAGTTTGGAGAGAACCCTCATTAACTTAAGAGGATCTATTAGAGATGGGTTTCCTTGGGCATTCAATGCCTCCTATTCTAGGTTAGTTAAAGGTAAAACCTCCTAATTCGCATTAGCACTTAGCGTTTGGTTGTGGGTTGCCATCCGAACTCCAATTAGAGAGTGAAGTCTAACCATTCCTTAGTTGATAGATTGAGAGGGTCACATTAGTGGCTTGGATCGTATCCCATTCCTCAACCTAGAGGCTAAGAGGGTAGCTTTGGCTACTTGTTAACTTCCATGCGGTTTAGACCCCCTAACCACACACGGTCGTTCGATTCTTCAAGTCATAAAATTTAGCTAGGGGGAGCAACACCCGAGTGAAGCTTTCTCAACTACTGTTCAATCCATTTTACTTTTGCAAAGCAATTAATTTTATACCTTTGTTTTCACCAAAACCAATCCTCTAGATAATGTTTCAAACAGTCGAAGTAGCGATACATGGACCGACCCAGGTCGATATTTAAACATACTTTCCCTATATTGCGCCCATCTAATGTTTATACTTGGACCTTAGGTGGGATTTTATTGAGATTGTCAAAGCGAGGTAGTTATCAAACAACATCTACTAGTGGAGCTCATTATTTTTAGACAGTGGTTGATGACTTTAGTCGAGGTGTTTGGGTCTATCTACTAAAATTCAAGTCTGAGGTGGCTCAGTACATTACCATGTTTTGTGAGATGCCACACACCCAATTTGGCCAGCAGGTGCGAAGGATTCAATACGACAATGGTTTGGAGTTTGTCACTTCATCCCTGCATGATTACTATGAGAGGTCAGGTATAGTTCTTCAAACTAGTTTTACCGACACTACTCAGTAGAACTGAGTTGTTGAGCGGGAACACCGTCATATCTTAGAACCAACGAGGGTGCTTCATTTTGATGCAGGGCTTCCTTACGTTTTTGGGGAGAATGTGTTCTTAGAGCAGTCTATTTGATTAATCGTACCCGACAACGACAATAGGGAAAACCCCATATGAGATCTTATTTGGCCACGCTGCTCAATACTCTCATCCCTGTGTGTTTGGATGTCTCGTCTATGCTAAGGATAATCATGGGGGGGGGGGACTTCATATATTTACTAAACGTGGAGGTGCATGTGTGTTCTTTGGATATGCAGCCAGCCAGCAACACAGAAAGGCTATCACTTCTACGATCTACTTACGCGCAAAATTCAAGTTTTATGAGACTTATTTTCCCTTTCCCGCTCAAGATCCACGTGCATTTCACTTGGTGCCTTCTCCCACCATTGATGAACAGGAAGGTGCCCCACGACCAGCAGCCACTTCTTCAAGTCCTTCTTTAGTCCTCCCCATGACTGTGCTCGTTAATCCTTCATCACCTTCAGTCGTGACACCCACACCCTCTTCATCACATGAGTCGTCTCCCCAATCAACAAGTCACGCTCCTCTTGTTGTCCTCGATCCTCCTTTACGTAGTAGTCTGCAGGATCGTCACCCTACGAAGAAGCTAGATGATTATGAGAGAGACCTTACCTAGCATCTCATGTGTGCTATCCCATTTCACACCAGGTTTCATATGATCACACCACTCCTTCTTATCGCTCCTACCTAGCCTCCATTGATTTGATTGCATTCCAGAGCCGCGTACGTTCAAGGAAGCGGTTAAGCGTGCTCATTAGAGAGAGACAAGGCAAAAGAGATATCAGCTCTCATTGCTAATGACATCTGGGATCTCACTGATCTTCCCCTGGGAAAGCGATGTATTGATGCTACGTGGGTCTTTAAAGTGAAATATCTTCCAGATGGCTCTGTTGAATGGTACAAAGCACAGCTAGTCACCAAAGATTACACTCAAATTGAAGGTGTCGATTTTCATGATACATTTGCTCTTGTTGCAAAACTGGTCACCATTCGGTGACTCTTGGCGGCTGCGGCTAGCCGAGGCTGGTTTCTCCACCAACTTGACGTCAACAATGCGTTTCTTCATGGTGTTTTATCGGAAGAGGTTTACATGAAGATACCACCTGGTTTTGCTCAGGATGGTGACTCTCGCGTTTTTCGGCTGCGCAAATCCATTTTATGGTTTGTGCCAGGCCTCATGAAATTGGTATCAAAAGTTCACCACCTCTCTTGGTGACCTAGGTTTTCGGGCATCCCCGACGGATCATTCTCTTTTCATCTACAAACATGGGTCTGTTTGTGGTTGCCTTAATTTACATTGATGATGTGATTTTGGCAGGAAATGAAATGGGGATCATTGATCATGTCAAGCGGTTTCTTGATGACAAGTTCAACATCAATGACCTTGGTTGTCTTTGTTACTTTCTTAGGCTGGAGGTTGCCCATTCTCCTCGTGGTATTGTCATCAGTCAGTGGAAATATGTGTTGGATATTCTCAGCGAAGAAAGGGTCCTTGGTTCGCGTCCGAGTGCCTTTCCGGTCAAGTAATATCATCAGCTCACCAAGCCCTCATCTGATCTTCTCGTTGATGGCTCTTCTTATTGGCGTCTCATTGGTCGTCTTCTTCACCTGACGGTTTCTCGTCCTGAAATTACTTATCGTGTCAACATCTTAAGCCGATTCGTCCATGATCCTACACAGGCCCACATGGACACAGCTCGGCAAATCTTGAGGTATCTCAAAACCTCTCCTGGTCAAGGCCTTTATTTTCCGGCTAATAACTCTTTGGAACTTGTCGCACATTGTGATGCGGATAGAGGTAGGGATGACAACAAAACCCGAACCCACGGGTACCCACCCGACCCAACCCGGTCAACGCCGTGTTGACGGGTTTTGGGCCGGGTTCGGGTTTAAACCCGCTACACTATTCACCGGGTTGGGTTGGGTTTGGGTTTAGGTAAACCCGCCCCATGGGTACCCGCCCACACATATAATTACTTTTTCCCGTATATTTAATATTGTAAATAATATATCTTCTTTAAACAACTAATATTATTTATGTTTGTGGAGACATGTATAATTTGTTCTTTCTAACTATTTAGAATGAAGTTGATATTATGGAGTGGAGAGTGAAGAAACTTATTTGACGAGGAAGAAGATTTCAATTAATCTTGTTGTTTATAGATGTTTATCTTTAATTTTCAACAATTTGTATTGATCATTTGCGGTTTGCTTGTATTTCTAGATTGATATCTTTTGTATGAATAATTTGTATGAGAAAATTGATGTTAAACTTTTATTTTGAAAGAAATTTGTTATTGTAAATTTTTTACCACAAAAACCCACGGGTACCCATGAACCCGCGGATACCCAGCGGGTTGGGTTGGGTTTGAGTTTTTCAAACCCAACGGGTTTTACCCCGGGTTTTTTTGGCGGATAAACCCATGGGTTTGGGTTTGACAAAACCCACCCCAATCCGACCCATTGCCATCCCTAGATAGAGGTGAATGTCAGTCTACGCGTCGTTCCACCACTGCTTTCTTCGCTTCTCTTGGCTCCGCTCCGGTTTCTTGGCGCACTAAGAGATAAAAGGTGGTAGAACGCTCGTCTGCTGAAGTTGCGTATCGTACTATGGCTAGCACTATTAGTGAAGTCCTTTGGTTGCGCTGTTGCTGCATGAGTTAGGTGTCCCGTAGTAGCGGCCTACTCCTCTGTATTAAGATAATCATGGAGCTCTTCATATTACTTCTAATCCAGTATTTCACGAGAGAACCAAGCATGTTGAAATGGATTGCTACTTTGTATGGTTGTTTCAGGCGATATTCATCCTCGGAAGGTCAGTTCTTTGTAACAGGTCGCCGATCACTTCACCAAAGGCTTGGATGCTGATCATTTCTGGTTTCTTCTATCCAAGGTGAACGTTCGTGATCTTCACTGCTCAGCTTGCGGAGGCGTATTGGACCGAGATGAGCGAGTGGAGCCCAAGCCCACATGTGCTCATATTCTCGTGACACTTCCTTATAGGGCAAGGAATTCTTTTCGGACATGTAATTTCAATTCTGCTTGTGCTATAGACATTGCAAAGTCTCTATATAAAGGAGTTGTATTGTGACAAAAAAAAATTCGTCAGTACAATTTCGTCACCATAAGTGGACTATTATAATGAATTTTTTTTTTCATGTTAACATTTCTATTGTGACTCATTCTTTTATTGTCATAATAGTTCGTCACATTAAACCTATATTATGACAAATTGTTTTTGTCATTGTGAAGTTGTCATAATAGTGGTAGCGGGAGGGATTATGAGTTATAGATTATGACAAAATACTTAATCATAATAAAATTTGTCACATTATACATCAGTACATATGTATCGTGACAAGCATATTTGTTAGGATATCTAGTACACTTCATTGATTAAGTTTGTTATGAAAGGAAAACTGGACGCTGAAAACCCAAAATTTCCCAAACATATTTTCCCCCACTGAAAACCCCAATCGATGGCTCCCCCAATCACCCCAATCATCCAACCAAACTCTTCTCCTCAATCGGCATCCCTCAATCGCCACAATCATTCCACAATCGTGACTAAAATATCCTGAAGCTCGTCTCCTCAACAAGTGAAAGCGAACAAAAGTAAGTAGCCAGACCCTCAACCCTCCCCTTCTTCTCGATTTCGATTATTCGTTTGGATTACCCTCAATTTTGGTGGATGCATGTGTGTTCTTCCCTTTATCTCGTTCATGCATGTCGTTTTCGTTTGATTAGGCTAGGTAGTTTTCCCCTGCGCAATCTGGTACTTGGTTTTTACTCGTCGGATGTGAGGGTTTTCGGGGTTTAGGAATAAAGCAGGGTCAGGGTTTCCTTTCTTCGATGGAGTTCGAAAAATTTCCTTTGAATTGCACTAGAGACTCAAATTCTGGGGATGTTAATTCCCTTTTGATCGATTTCAGTGTGCTATCTGTTTGTCCAAGTTTATCTCTCCCATCTTCGTCCCGGCCAGCGTTGACGGAGACCAAATGCGAGTCCATGAATTATTGTAGTTATTCGATATTAGATCAACTCGATTTCATTGGGCAACCATGAGGTTCAGCGTTACAAACCTGCAACAGAGAATACGACAACGTTGTATGCAGCTACGGTGGCGGCAACGTAGGGAAGGGATAGGCGGACTCATCGGAATTCCATTAAGAAGATTGTTGCAATCAGGAAGCCCTTTTGTGAGATGGGCGATCGATTTACAACAGGTTTCCTTCGGCTCCTCAATTGAGTCCTTCATTCGGTACCTTCAAGCCAGTGATATTGTGGAGGTTCGGCGGAAGAGGTGAAGTTCGGCACCATGGACGACGGAGGCAGTGGCGTGTCATATCTCTTCTATTATTGACCGGCGAGGGAATTCAGGGTACCGCCAGTCCGCCACCAATCAAAAAGCGGTGTAGAATTGACGGAAAGGAGTTTCTCTCTTAATGGATGGTTTCAAATTTCTATGCCGTTAGGTTTAGAGAGAGTGAAGTACTAGGCTGGCGTGTAAAAAATGAAATTGACTCAACAATTTCAGCTTACGTGGCTATGTGGATCTGGAAAATAATCAGTAATTAATTTCTACCGTTAGTGATAGGATGGAAATTTGGATGGATACACTTAGATTGTATTAAGTGGTATCGGATGCATTAATTAGAATTAAGTGTTATGGCTTCACCAAATAGAAAAATTAAGTGGTAGCGGGTGTATTTTACCCTCAAAATTGTCATTCATTGTGAAAATGATGCACAACAAACTGTTAACAAATCGCAGTGATAAGTCCTTTAACTTGAATTTGGAGTTATTCAAGAGGGCTTTACCACATTGTGAGAATCTTCCAAATTCATATTATGATGTGAAGAAGTATATTCATAACCTTGGGTTTGGATATACTATTATAGATGCATTCCCATATGATTGTGTATTATTTCGAGGTCCTCTTCAGAATGCTAAAACCTGTCCAAAGTGTCAGAAATCTAGGTTTATACCCGCTAAAGGAAAGGAGATTGCTGTAAAAAGAGCAAGGTACTTTCCAATTAAGGATAGATTGCTTAGGCTATTCATAACTAAAGACATTGCCAAAGATATGAGGTGTCATAAGGAAAAACATATTGATGATGATGTCATAAGGAAAAACATATTGATAGAGATCACAGTTAGTTTGCTGCTGATCTTAGAAACGTCTGACTTGCATTGTTTAGTGATGGTTTCTATCCATTTGGGAACATGAGCTCTAGTTATAGTATGTGGTCGGTTGTGTTAACTCAATACAATTTACCTCCATGGATGTGTATGAAGGAATCTTTCTTTGTTTGTTGTTGTTTTGATTCCTTGTAAGAGATCTCCTGGAAATAATATACATGTTTATCTAGAGCCATTGATAGAAGAATTAGATTTATTATGGAAGAAAGAGGTGAAAGCTTATGATGCATACAAAAACCAAACTTTTACTCTACATGTTGCATTGTTGTGGACTATAAATGATTTTTCAGCATATGGCATGTTATCTTGCTGGAGCACTAAGGGTAAACTGACATATCCTGTTGGGAATGAATAGCTTTGAAAGCTATATTGAATTAATTATCCAGTATTCTTTCTATATACGAATATAAGATGGATAATTAATAAAAGAAATATTATGGAGATAATTAGGATTAATTATCTTAATATAATATATTTTAATTATGGGAGTAATTATCTTCCTAATTAAAATTTGACTTATTCCCAAAGAAAGAGGGAATATTCTGGGCTTTATGCTCCTATAAATAGCAGACCCCTAAACTCTAAATACACCTCAGAGAGCAGAAACACAAGAGAGAGTGAGATTCAAAGAGCTCCAGTTTTTCGCACAAAATCGCTGAGCAAATCAAAAGAGTGGTTGTTTTATCCTGGAGGTTACCGGCTGATAGTCTGCCGTGCGAATAACGAGGCAGTGCCGCGAACGTCTTAAAGAGAGCGACCTAGTCCGCGACTCAGCCAGATCGGTAACCCTAGATTTTTCTGTTCGATTTCTAACAATTTTAAGATGTTCGGTTGTTGTCCTGGGTAACGAACATGATATCGATTATGGCTTGATCGAGGACAAGACACGAATAATTATGTGCCCACCGTCTAACGAACCCCTATCCGGCCGTCCACATCGTCGGGGCCAATCGCGGAGCTCAAATCCAATTCTAATGAGGAACTGGTTCAATCCGGATCCGGCCAGCAGTGATCCTTCTCCATTCGGTTGTGGGTTGGATGGTGAGGGACGTATCGCAAGTTCGCAACTGCGATCACCGCGTTGATTGGTAAGCAAAGCCGAGCAAATAAGCAGCACCGAAAGGAAGCTCCGCCGCTGTCGGAGATGGCTATCCGAGAGGTTTACGAGGAGAAACTACGTTACGGGAATCTGCATCACGATCCCACCATCAACCCTAGCCTCGGCACCCCACGCTGCCCTCGCTGCCTCTCCCTCCTTGACGCCGATTCCGATAAAGGCGAATGGACCATCACCTCCGTTTTGCACGACGCCACCGCCGTGGCTGGGTCTGGCATTGGTGCGATGCTTAGTGCAATGCATGGTCTTAATACAGAGACTCCATTCATCCAGAATCGTTTGAAGGGGCTCAAGTGGCGTCCATTAGTAGTTGGGCCGCCAAAAGTTGAATGAAATGAACAAGAAGCAGAGAAGAGATTCGGCTCTTCTCTCCACCTGCTTGCTACCATTGGAGCGCCGACACAAACCTAAAGAGAATTCCCAGCCAGTTAGAGTTTGCGACCGGTGCCCGGGTATGAAGAAGTTGCGTCTCGTTGTCGCAGATAGAAAAAAAGGTGTCACAGCTGTTGTTTGTTGGTCAAAGAATTTTGGTGTTCCACAGCTGCTGCCTATTCCAAGCGAAATTTCGCTATTGGTCTTCGCACCAATAATTAGGCAAAAGCAGCCACGACACCTAATTAAAGAGCTTGGGAATGAAACTGCAAGAAGCGTAGCAGGCGGCTTGGAGCGGAGTCTCACTCAGTAAGTTGGGGACATCCTGCTTGCCAATCTCGGAGGGAAAAGCTTCGTTTAGTCGTATCGAAGTTCCTAGCGAGGCTGGAATGAAACGAATTAGACGTTGAACTAGAAGAAAAGAATGGAATGCCTACTCGAGGAAGAGGTAAGAGCTGAAACCTTCTTTTTGAATCACTAATGAATGACAAACTAGAGCTATGTCATGCGATACTATGCATGGAATTGTGGACACACGTGAATGCTAATGCTAGACATGAAAACTAGAATGGATGTGTGCATGATAATGGTTAACATTGAGATGTGCTATGCTCAATGATTAGAGTGCAACGTTGTATACATGGTCTAAAGAGTAATTTTGATTATATGAATGTATACTCTGAAGCATATATTATGTAGTAAATATGCTAATGGAATGGGTTATATGCCCATATTTATTAGAAGTACTGCTTGTCAGTACTATGAGAATCATCATAGCGAACCGAATCAGATCCACACCAATTAAAATGGTACCATTCGTGGTACCTAAAGGATCATCGGCCAATCCTCTAAGAATGACGCTTTATTTCTCTGCAATACTTGCGAGAAATTAGGTTATATGACATGAAAGTGTAGGAACAATTATAACACTGGTTCTAGTGTTAACTTAATTGAAGAGAAGGATTGGTGGCTGAAATGATTGACAAACGAGCAGAGATTAACCATGCTGGTAACTCTGAAGAATGGTGGCTGAATACTGGTATCTCGAAGCATACTAGGACATATGCTATTAAGAAAGTGTTGTTGAGTATTGCTCACTCCACTATTGGTCATGGTAATGAGAATATGCATATGATGATAAAGTAAATGACTCTTAAACATGTGATTAGAGAATTAGAATCTTTGGATTTGATTCATTTTGAAATGGGTGAATGAGAATAATGTGAAATGCTTTATCACATTATTATTGATTGCACTAATTAAAGATGTGATGCTTTTGACATGCTTTTAACGTAAAACATTATTTATGAAATGACTTTTTCATATGGTATAGTTTGAGAGTCAGTGCATTATAGGATGAGCATGAAACTGTTTTATTGATTGTGCTATCAATAATAGAACACATAAGCTTGTGAGATGAAATACTCATTGTTGTGTAGAATCCATTCAGGTCATTCCATTTAAATCGAGAAATAGTGGGGGTGATATCTTGCCTGCTATTAGAAATAATGGATAACTAGCGGGGGTGATGAACCTGGGTATGAACTCAGAAGAGACAAACGAACCATAAATCACGAAAAGATTTTGGTTATGAATTTGTTATTTACACCCTAAGAAAGATCCACAAGTCTGCTTGAAGTTTGAACTTCCACAAATATGCAGATTTGTGAGAGAATCCATTATTAACGAAATGGAAATGTTGGAGTCTAATAAGACTTAAAATCTTGTAGAGTTACCTCTTGGCTGTAAAGCCTTGGGTAATATATCGATAGAATCAAACAAGATTTTATATCTTTGAGAATTACCTCTTGGCAATAAAGTCATGGGTAATAAATGGATACTTAAAAGAAAAGTAAAACCTATTGGTTTAGTTTACGAGTATAAGGATCGCCTAATAGCTAAGGCTTTAGGCAAAAATGAAAAATTGTAAATTTTTTGTTATCTATTCACCATATATAGAATAGCATCCATGTATGTTCTGATTGCTAGTGTTGTGCGTCATATGGATTGTTAAACCTGTTTCTGTGAATGGTGATTTAGATAGGGAAATATACATTGGACAATCTTAAAGGTTGTTATTCTAGAACATGCGTATGGAGTCTATGGTTAGACAAATCAATATATGATTTGAAATAGACTCAGAATTAGTGTCATGAACAATCAGATTCTCTCTCATGGTTTTAAAAGTGAAAGTGACAAGTGCATTTAGTACAAATTTGAGAATGACACTTGCATTATGAATGACACGTCGATCTTTGGTACGAAGACTCGTGATGTCAATATTGAAAAACCATGATGGTTGAGAATTTTGAATGTGAAGGATCTGAATGAAACAAATGTTATGCTTAGAGATCCTAATAACTAGGAAAATACAAGATGTACACCTGCATAGATGTTTGATGATTCTAGTATAAATATTTAAAGAACACCTAAGACGATGTAAGAAAGTTAGAATGCACTATCATTTATAGTTTGCGAGAGGCAGCTGATAAACATGAGACCCGATTTAGTGGGGGTACTTGGCAGACTTATTGATGTCCTAGTATGAAGCATTGAAATGCTATTGAAAGGGGTCATGAGACACCTTAAGAACAGTAGACCTTGATATAAGTTATCAACGGTTTCTTGCTGTATTGGTAGGGTATATTGATGCAGACGAGAATACCCTATAGAAGACTCCAAGGCATCCAGTGGACATGTTTTAAACATCACTGGAAGAGTTGTGTCTTGGAATTCCAAGAAGTAAACGATCCTGGCTCAATCAACTAAGAAATCAGAAATGATAGAGCTAGCAATGGCTAGTAAAGAGAAAAGTTGATTGAGAGGGTCATTACTAGAGATTCCCTTATGGGAAAGACCGATCCCTCCGGTAGTTGATTCACTGTGATAGCACTGCAACTATTACTAAAGAAGGGAACCGGTTCTAGAACGAAAAGAGACGACAAATTCGTCGTAAGCACAGTACTGTAAGAGAACTCCTAACGATAGGAGAAATGAGGGGGGATCCTGTAAGGTCCTAACAGAATCTAGTTGATCCTTTGACGAAATGATTATCTAGAGAGAAAGTCCAAAATATTGCCAAGGGTATGGGACTTATGCCTACCAAACCACGGACTACAAGTGATGTTAACCCAACCCAATAGACTGGAGATCCCATGAAATGGGTTCAATGGGTAATAACAACTCATAAGTAGTATGCGAAAAGCTCATGCATAGTGAAGCATGAATCCCAAAGAAATGGAGATTGAGTTAACAACTCTTAATGAGATCTATACCCTATGTGGGGTGGAGTACTTTACTTTGGGGGTACTCCTGATAGACTCACCTATGTGAATGTGGGAGTGGGGCCGCTCCCTATGGAACTTTGGAGGCACAAAGTTGCTAGAGCGTTCCCTAAACGGGGATAACGTGCATGGCCATAAACGCAGGGTCTATGAGAGAATATCACTCAATGAAAAGATCTGGTGTGCTATATTGTCTGAGATAGGGTTCAAGACTACGAGTCACCCTTATGAAATCGGATGTGTAACCACTACGCTAAGGTTCAAATCTTCGCGATACCTTAGCTTATGCCCGATCTTATGGATCTGTTGATGCTCAGAGATAGTTTCAAAACTATTCAAGTGGGGGATTGTTGGGAATGAATAGCTTTGAAAGCTATATTGAAATAATTAATCAGTATTCTTTCTAGATACGAATATAAGATAAATAATTAATAAAAGAAATATTATTGAGATAATTAGGATTAATTATCTTAATATAATATATTTTAATTATGGGAGTAATTATCTTCCTAATTAAAATTTGACTTATTCCCAAAGAAAGAGGGAATATTCTGGGCTTTCTGCTCCTATAAATAGCAGACCCCTAGACCCTCTAAATACACCTCAGAGAGTAGTAACATAAGAGAGAGTGAGATTCAAAGAACTCCGGTATTCGCACAAAACCGCTGAGCAAATCAAAAGAGTGGCTGTTTTATCCTGGAGGCAACCGGCTGATATTCTGCTGTGCGAATAACGAGGCAGTGCCGCGAACTTCTTAAAGAGCGACCTAGTCTGCGACTCAGCCAGATCGGTAACCCTAGATTTTTCTGTTTGATTTCTAACATATCTTGTCTACAATAAGGAGATAGACTCACTTTCTTTGAAATTTGGGGGCAAAGAATGCTATATGGGTCATCGTAGATGGTTGGACCAAGGTCACTCATGGAGAAGAAGTAAGAAATTTAATGATAAAGCCGAGTTTAGAGCTGAGCCTCCAATATTAAGTGGACAAGATATTCTGAATCCGTTGAATGGTGCTCTAAATCCTTAAACAACAAATTGTGGAAAAGCCAAAAGCCATGAAGTAGTTAAGAGAACTCGAGATGGCAGTAAGATTGGAGGAATCGAAGTTGCACCAGGAGCCAAACAGGTGATCGACAGTAATGAATTTTTTTTAAGATGGAATTAGGGGTAATTTGCAAGATGATGGCACCTATTGGTAAGTTCTATTGGTCCCACGTGACGAAAGAGCTGAAGCAACCTATCTATGCAAAATTAGAGGTAATATGTTACTTTTGTAGTCTGAGTTTGATATCTCACTGACTAGTGAAGCTATGAGGAGGGCTGTAAACTACTCACTATCAATGCGGTTCAAGAACTTCAAGCATCACTGTCATGAACATTATCAGAAGTTAGGTGCTGACAGTGCTCGTCAGACCCCACATGAGAACATTAAAATGGATGATTGGCTACGTCTGTGTGACCATTTTGAATCTCCTCAGTTTAAGGTAATGTTCCCCATTACATGAGCATTACCCTAGTTTAGATTTATAGACACAATCATTTACTATAATGAATGTTGCATGAGTTCGTATAATTCTATGCAGAGGCAAAGTACTGCTAATAAACGTAGCAAAAGTATGCAGACTTATGCACACACTACGGGAGGTAAATTGTGCAGTCAGCGGATGTATGAAATGGTAAGTGTAGGAGAGGAGGTGTTAGATTTTATGTATTTTGTACTCCTTTAAATGTTCTCATTCTGTTCTATTATAGGAGAAAGCAAAGCATGCTGCCACCCACCCTGAGGAGGAGAACTCGAGTGACCAACCCTCTGATGTAGTCGAGCAAGAAGAGCCTAAGGAAATGAAAGTTTATGCAGCCACACATAAGAGGACAGATGGTAGTTGGGTCGACGTTCAACCTCAACACAACTATGTAAGAGTTGTGTTTGACTTAGTATACTGTGGTGGTATACATCAGCACTACAATGATGCAAATGAATGTGAACTTGTGTCGTGTGTGCATCAGGAAATGCAGAGAATGTATGTTGAGGCTTTAGAAAAAGGGAACCGACTATTTGGTGCTGAAATCCTTGCAATGGTGCTAAACAAAGCTCCAACTTACATCAACAAACAGAACCCGACTTCCGTAAAAGAGAAAGAACTAGAAGAGCGTTTGGAAAACTCACTGCCTGAAGGAGAGAAGCAGAGGCAAGAGTTCTAAGGGCAGATTCAAACCCACCAACATAAAATTGAGGAGCAGGAACAAGAAATTGAAAAGAACAAGCATGTCATCCCGAAACTGCAAGAGCCCAGGACAATCTAAAGAGCTACGTGGAGTCCCTAGTACGAATAATTGATGGGACACCAGAGTAATCTAAGGTAATAACCCTCAACTAACTTCTCTTAGAATATTAAGATGCTAAGATATGTAGAGTGGATTGAGTTGATGAATGGAATGAATGGCCTGAATGTTCTGACAAGCTTCAATGAAGGAGTAGGCATCTAAAATGTATAGGCAGCAGTAGAGTTCAATGAGCTGGAATGAATGGAATGAGTTTGGCTTGGTTTATCTCTTATGTACAGGTACTGTCTCGACTTGGGCGATGTAGTTGGAACCTCATTTTGGAAGGACATGGACAATGGTGCCTTGCGTCGTTGGCTGGTGAAAATTTTGTCTTTCAGTGGGATTCTCATTTGAGAATGAACTTGAACTTGTTGTAGGTCTGTTCAGGGTTGAACATTTGTAGGGTGTGTCAAGTTTTCAGTGTCTAGGATATCTCTATGACTGGGCAGTTATTTTCGATTATGTCATGTTGTTTAAGACTTATGACTGGGATATATCTATGCCATTGACATATTTTTAGATTTGGTGACAAAAGTGGCATGTAAGATTATGCTTATACATGTTGAAATGAATGTCATAATATCCAGAAAATGTGACAAAAATGCAATGACGTATACTGACAAATATTATTGGTCATATTAAATATTTATTGACAAAATCAAGTCGTTGACAATAAAACTGACAAAGCCGGAAAAAATCGACAAAACATAGTTGTCAGAACAAACCAATATTGACGAAAACAATTTTGTCAGAACTACTGTAGTGTTATCATGACCAACTATTATGATGAAATGTTTGTTACAATATAATAATTTGTCAAAATAACATGCTATGATGCGCGACTAGTCCTGGCAAAATTTTTGTGTATTATGACGAAGATAACCTTTTATTATAACAAAATATTTGGTCAAAATAAGGTTTTTATTATGACAAAAAAATGCGCGGCATGACATCAGGAAATATTATGACGAAGTTATAAAATTTTGTTACAATAAAGTTGTTTCGACTACGTAGTTTTGACAAACGCCATGACGGAATATTTAGTCATTATAAACCTATTTTGATGAAAATGTGTCTTATTGTGGCCGTCAGAATAAACGAAACTTGTTGTAGTATTTCTATCAAGTCATCAATAATAATCTCATAGTCGGAGAGGCGTTCCTCTCCCGTGGATTAGTCCAGACAAATCGTCAGGGATACATCGTAAATCTTATGTCTTCTTTACTCTTCGCACGATTTATCATAACTTAATCACGTTCAATCAAGCAACTCAACTGTCGCGCAAGCTGATGACGACGAACTTCCCAACATAGAGATCACAACTTGAAACCATTATCATGGGTCCTCATCTTTTGGGCTTTATTAATGGAATCGCTACAACTCCTAGGGACAAGGTCACCGTGTCACACCTGGGATTGGTAGATCCTGGTTATTGTTTGGTTTCTGGGAAAATGGCTGAGAAAACAAAAGAGAAATCTACAACTAGAGAGAGAGAGAGAGAGAGAGAGAGAGATAGTTGGGGGGAAAAGTTGTTATTCGATTCGTTAAGTAACGTTGGGTTAAGGCGGACACTTTTATACCCAGCCTGTATAATTACCACAAACATCCTCTAAGCTATAATTCTATACAAACTACTCCTAAATTGTGTCAACTGAATCCAACTATTACAACTCCCCCTTCCTTTAGCTGAGACTTGTCCTCAAGTCTCAAAGTCTAGAAATCGTCCATGAAATTCACCAAGAACTCCCATGTGGCATCTTCCTCGGACTGGTGTGACCACCGAACCAAGATTGTAGCTATTTAACTAGCCCTGTCGACAAAACGGCGAGCTAGAATAACCTTTGGATAAGTTTTCAATCCGCCTGCCTCATCCATCTCCAACAAGGCTGAATGTGTTTGAGGCTGATTACCAGGAGCACATTTGAGTAAGGTGACATTGAACACTAGGTGGATGATAGTACCCTGTGGAAAAGCACTAGTGAATACGGAGTCACAATAGAGTGAGGCAAGCCATGGAGCTTAAAGACCCCATCAAAGAATGTTGAGCTACTGAAACAGAAGAGTAAGGCTTAGCTAGACTGAAGACATGCACGTACTTAGAAAACATGTCAATCACTACAAATATTACATCTTTACCTTGTGATTTGGGTAGGCATTCCACGAAATCCAAAGAGATATGTTGCCAAGATTTTTCTGGAATAGGTAGTGGATGGAGCAGTCCAGAGTAGGAGATATGTAACATCTCATTTCGAATAAATTCAAATTTCGGTAGTTAAAAATTTACACGATTAAAATCAAGTATTATAATAGTATTTCGATTAAAATCGGAATATATAAATATTATAAGTATATACTAATCAATTATATATATATATATATATATATATATATATTAATTAGTCCCGCACCCTTGTGTGTTGCAAAGGGAGGGGATTTGATTAAAGCAATGATCGAAACCGCTTCAAAGTTAATTATATATACAAAACCCCCATCTCGTCCCATTCTATTTCCCATTTCCATTCGCGTGAGACCAAACAGAAAACCAGAGAGGCCTAGCGTGCACAGGGGAGAAATCGTAGAGCTCAATTATTTTGTTCTAGTGATCCAAATATTGGTGAAATCGTTAGGTAATCCTTTATTACAACCTAGCTCATCATTTCCTCGTCCGTAGAGAATATCGGACCATCAATTTCTTTCACCTCCAATTGTATAAATTACGGCTTAAGAGTATCCGGAAGCCGGATTAAGCCCAGATTTCATATACAAGCTTCCTGCAGCGAGATAATTAATCCTCTAGTTCTAATCAATGAATTTCGGTTATTATTTAGGTCGGAGCCGAAATTGTTGAATTTAGCTCCGACCAGGGTTTGATGTGTTTTTATCGTGAATTTCACCCGGAGTCTAGAACTAACATGGACGGGGACACTGGAGGGGATATTAGGAAAATCTCGGATTTTCATTCCGGGTTTGTTTGAGAAAAGTGAAGTTTTGGTACGGGAGACTAGAACCGGTTTTTGAACGACCATAACTGGTGAGGGATTAACACGGCATACCACGTTTTTAGTATCACGATGATTATATTAATGCTTAGAATTGACTTAAGTGAACTAGAATGACATGATTAGAGGTCTATGGACTTTGGTACTATATGATGAGCCCTTGAGTGCTATATGATATCATTGTCTTGTCCTAATCCTTATGGACCTTGTTTATGCTGATGATTCTGTATATGTTGAATATTATGGGCTTGACTGTTAATATGCCTTATGATGGTTCGAGAAGGTAATTGGGTATGATTTTTCATGATTGTTGTATTTGGATGCACAAGTGGGAAAATATAGATCTCGTGGTGATATTATGATGTTTAAGGAGGATGACTTGCACGAGGGTTTATCCCAAGGAAGTGTAATTATACGACTCCTGTTTTACCTATGTTGAGCCAATTATGGTCAGGTCAAGTACATGTGCAAGTAACAAATTATGATTAAGCAAGATGAGATATGAATCATGTATAAGGATACCAAATATGAGTATTGTGGTCTCATGGTCAATTACATAGTAATTAGGGCTCCCTATGCTATTACTCTATTATGATAAGTATGATAGTCACACCTCTCATGTGGTGGTGACTGAAGATTTCTCACGAGATATGACCACACCCAGAGCGGTGTCGGGGTATGACTACACCCATAGTGGTGTGGGGTATGTATGACCACATCCAACGGGATGTTGGGGTATGTATGACTACATCCGACGGGATGTGGGGTATGTTTCCCGGGAGAGTTATTAGCATGGGAGTAGCCAGGCGCCTATAAGTAAAACATGATAAGACGCATATGCATAAGTCAAGGTGGTTGAGTCTTTTTCCTATTGTGATGTCGGATAGCTGAGGTCTGATCCTAGTGCTTTGGCTTGTTTGCTAGATGTATGGTAGGGGTATGCTTTGTTATGAACTCACTATGCGAGGATTATCTCACTCAGCTATGAGCTGACCCTCTTTTATCCTCTTTCTTTGCTTATGCCATGTGTAAGCAGATCATCATCATCAACAACAGTAGATAGGTGTAAAGGTGGGAGCTGAGTAAGAGGTGAAGGGAAGAAGAGGTATGGTCTTCAACTATTCTGTGCCTGGACGACTAATCGGGATTTTGGCTAATGATCCACACCTTTTTGTAAAAATGTTTTGAGAACATTTTCATGTGCATACTAGCTTCTGATGTAGTGTGAGATATCCACAGGTGAGAAAAGTTGATTATATGTGTGTATGTGTGTGGTGGTGTATGTTGTGACGATTATGACATGTATAAGTATGGTATGTAGTTGCAGAGTACGAAAGTGTGACTATAGCTGATTCGGGCCTAATTGCACATGTTTTCCCCCGTTTTACTTAGGTGTTTGTGCCAAATTTACTCCTTAAAGGTTGGTTTTACGCTAGGTTCTTCGTGTTCGAGTGTGTTTTAGGATTTAACAGGTGAAACCAGCTTCGGAGTCGAAATATTGGCGAAAAGGATCGAAAACCGGGAAAAGAGGTGAAAAAGAGCTAGTTCACGGCTACTAAAGGGAGTTCACGGTCTTGCATGACCGTGAAGAAGAGGAGTTGACCGTGAATCGCGAGGCGTCCAAAGCCAAAGTGAAGGTTACTAACGCAAGGTGAGTTCACGATCACTAAGACCGTGAACAATGGCAGTTGACCGTGAACTCGAGTGAACGATGCGGCACTTTTTGGCGCACGCCTGAAGTTCACGGACGCGTTGCATGGTTCACGGCCGTGAACTCAGGTCGTGAACTCACCCCATCTCTGGTTTAAAATATGAGCTAAAAGGAGGAGAGAAGGGAGAGCCCATTTGGTGTGAAAAGCCTTCTTCTACATTATAAAGAGAAAAACGAACCAAAGGGAGAAGAAGGCTAGGGTTTAGCTTCAAGGCAGATTTAGGGAAGATTTCCGCCAAGGAAAGCTCAACTCAAGGGCCAAGAAGACTGGGAGCATCCTCCAAGATGGTTTTCATCTCTTTCCCTTTTGTTTTTCCCACTTCTAGCATGGAGTAGACCTCCTTTCACTTGGGTGTTGTGAAACCCTAACTATACCATGTAGTTTTGTTTTATGTGTTTTAGATGATTGTCACTGGGTATTGTTTAATTCAATAAATGAGGCATTATTCATGATGATTGTGCTTAGCAACCTAGGTTGTGCATATTTTGTGCTTAGCATCCTTAGGTTTTTGCATGTTGTTTCTAGAAATCTAATTAGCCACCTTAACCTAGCTTAGAGAGGAAAATCCCCCTTCCAAGGGAGACTCAATCGAGTTGGTTTTCCTTCCGCTTTCTAAGCCACCTAAACTAGGTTAAGCTAGGGCAATCCTCAATATTGAGTTAAGCAAATTGGTTAATCATGATTAAGCCGTCCGACCTTAGAGTTGAGTGAGGGAATAAGTCAATTACCGATTGTCTAAACCGAGAGGGTCGAGTGACACGGCCTTTCATGCTTACCTCAGTTTAGCAATTGAGATTGTGGTCACTGACCATATATGCATCCCTCTACGGTTCAAGATTACCGTGCCCAAAGCAATCGTTCCAATTTACATAGCATGGTAGCAGTTAGGGGGAAGCGACACCCGAGTGATCTTTCCACCAAAGAGTTATCAAAAGTATTTACCATTGCTTTCTTTCATTTCAATTAGCAAATCTTTACACCAAAGTTTTGTTGCTAGATAATGATTTCAACAACTGAAGTAGGGGTAGACGGACCGGCCCGGGTCGATATCTAAATACTTGCCATATACTGCACCCGATTAGAGTTTAAAAGCTTGGGCTCTACTTGGGTTTTTATTGTGGTGTAGTTTCGTGCGAGTCAATAGCTATGAAAGCCAATGTGCATGGTTGTGAGTATATATGTATGTCTATAAATGCAGGGATTCAGATGAATTATTTTGCAGGGTCTAGTTGCAAGAACTGTTGGCCCATTACGCGAGTAATTCATGTCGAAATTTTATTGGTTGATTTTTGGTTATTAATGTAACACCAGTTTTAAATTCCGCTGCAATTGTGTGAAAAATATGATTAGGAAAACGTACAGGGTACGTTGTTACAGAATATTCTCGATCTTGCAACGTTGACAGATGTCAAAGCTACTCACAAATTGCTAAATGTCTCGTTTGAATCTAGACCAATAGAAATATCGCTTCAGCCTTTGATATGTAGCTTGAACCGAAGAAGTACACCAACAGGAGACTCGTGGAATAGCCTCATTAAGGAACGCCTTACAGAGCCTTATGAAAGCACATAGATGGATTCTTTGTAGCACAACAACCCATGTTTCATTGAGTATAGTCGAGGACCAAAAAATAGAATTGAAGCTACTATAATCAAGGCTTGAACCACCTGATCTCCCACATAAGTCTCTTCCAATTTAGACAGCCAGTCTGGAAGCACCGCCGTCATTGCTTTGAAAATGCCTTGAGCAGTAAAATCCTGATGCCTTGACAAGGCGTCAACTACCCTGTTGAACTACCTTGTCTTTGCTGGATTTCAAAATCTAAACCAAGCAACTTCTAGCCTAATAGGTGTTTCAGACTTTCCTGGTTAGTAACGATTTTGAATGTTATTCCTTCCAAATAAGGCTGCCATTTAACAACCATTAACACAACCAAGTATTCCTTCTCTTTAAGTCAAAAGCCCATGCTTCATTGGACATAAAGCTTGACTCAAATACGCCAAGGGCCTCCCATTTTTAGACAATACTGCCCTTATTCCCGGATCACGTGCATCTGTGTCAAGGGTATATGGTTGAGTGAAATTAGGGAGAGCCAAAACAAGCACTTAAACCATAGCAGCCTGTAACAACTCAAAGGCTCATTGAGCAACACTGGACGCACGAAGCTATCCTTCTTTAGTAAGTCAGTTAATGGCTTTGCAATCACCCCAAAATCCTTCACAAACTTCCTGTAATACCAAATTAAAACAAAAAACCCACGTAATTCCTTTAGTGACTTTGTAACATGCCGTTGATCATTGACCCTATCTTGCAAGGGTTAGTAGGGACCCCATCTTGATTAATAATATGACATAGGTAGTCCACCTACACCTGGCCAAAAGAACATTTTGATGGTTTGGCAAACAAAGTGTTTTGTCTTAGGATTTGCAAGGTCGTTCTAAGGTGCTGAATATGGGATTCTTGGTTAGGGCTATAGCCAAGAATATCGTCAAAGAAACCAAAATGAACTTCGAATGATAGGGTCCAAAAATTTGGTTCATAAGAGCTTAGAATGTGGCGGGGGAATTGGTTAGCCCAAAGGGCATGATAGTGAACTCGTACGGGCCACGGTGTGTCCTGAAAGCTATTTTATGCTGGTTTTGAGGGTGCATTTTGAGATGGTGATATCTAGACAGTAGGTCTAGTTTGATAAAATATTTGGATCCCTTGAGTTCATCTAATAATTCGTCAATCTAAAGAATATGAAATTTGTCTTTGATGGTAAGAGAATTGAGCTGCCTATAGTCAATACAAAACCGTCGGGATCCGTCTTTTTTAGTACTAATAGAACTGGTGAGGCAAATGGGCTCCTATGGGTTGTATGTACTGGAAATTTAGAATCCCTTTGCACAGCATCTCCATTTTTATTTTCTAGGCTTGGGAATATTGATAAGGTCTCAAGTTTACATGCTGGAAGTTACGTTTGAGTGGGATAGTATGGTCACAGGATCTAGTAGGGGGTAGGGAACTCCATTTACCAAATACATTAGCATATTCTTCGAGCATAGGTTCAACGAATGATGGAACTTTACCTGGATTGGCTGGCTCCACAGACAAACTAAAGTTGTGTCCAACTAGTGAAGTTGTGGTCTTCTTTAGTATCTTATGTAATCCTTTGCCTGAGAGAAACTTACACTGGCCATACTCTTGAACTCTTGTAATACCACCTCCTTTTCTTCCCAATCAAAGAACAGTTGCAAGTTGATGAAATAAAATTTAACTGGGATCACTGTCTTCAACCAATCCAATCCCAACACTACATCATTGGAACCCAGACTATTTATTCATATATCAAACCCAAACTTATGGCCTTGCATCTCCCAACTGAAAATGCGACATACTTTGGAACTGGACAACATGGTACCATCATCCAACTTCACTCATAAGGGAGAAACAGTCTCTAAAGCACACTACAATTCAATTGCCTTCCTTTCACTACAAAACGTGTGAGTGCTTCCCGTATCCACTAGTATAATTACTCTGCCTTTTTTGGTATTCCCTTTGACAATCAAGGGGTTAGATAACCCCCCCAGTGCAGAGAGCCTGCGTTGGAACTTTGACTAACTCAGACTGTTGAGGTTCACTGTCGACTTCCTCAACTCCTCCATCCTAAGTGTCACTCCAATCTACCTGCAGTTCCTCATTACCTTGTCAACGTGAAATGCATCTAATTGTTTTCTCGCTTCACACACATGCCCAAAACAGTACCTCTCACCACACTTGTAACAAGAACCTTTAGCAAAATTCCTTTTTGTGGGGGCTGATCTATTGAGATTACTGGGATTTTGTGGATGGCTACCCCCGGAACCTTCCGACTTCTTTCATTGGGGTTGCACAAGATTATTGGGAGGGTGGTAGTGTGAAACTAGCTCCAGTCCTCCACTTCTTCTGTCTGGCCTCATTAGAGGCCTCTTCCAGTTGAGCCAACTGAAAAGCATTTGCCAGAGTTAAAGGTTTCCACATAGTGACCACTGGTCTCAACTCTTCCTCCATTCCACTAATGAAGTTGGAAATGAAATGGTCTTCCCCCAGGGCGGGGTTGAAACGAACCATCTGCGACTTTAATTCCTCGAACTTCTCCTGATATTCCAACAAGGAACCCTGATGCTTTAATTTGTTAAATGCACCCACAATACCCCATACGTCCTGTCGCCAAACCTACCACACAAGGAAGTCACGAATTGACCCCAATACAAATTCCGACGACCATACTTCCATCCCTTAAACCATTTATCCAATCGCCTATCCAAATAGATTGTTGCTAAACTAACTTTCTCTTTATCCGGAATCTCATAGATCTCAATGAGCTTCTCGCATTATGTGGTCTATTTTAAGAGGATTATCCCCACTAGAAAGGAGGAAAATCATGGCCTAGAAGCCAAAGAACACGGCCGGGATCACAAGCCGTGAAGACGAGCTAAAAATCACGCCCCAGAAGCGAAAGATTGCGACCGCGATATTGGGGGCCTCAGGCATGAACTTCGCATGGAAGGAGCCTTGGAGAAGCAGAGAGTTTTCCTAGTCGCATCACATCCAATGTTAAATTTTCCTGCAAAAAAGATCGCGGCCACGACTCGCGGATCGCGACCGCAAAGTCAGCCCGTGATCTTCTCCCTTCAGAAGGCCATGACGTTGTCATCTTGAGATCGCGGCCTATCCTCAAAAGATCTCTCGCGCGATCTCTCATTCTCAGGTCGCAAACTTCCTCGAGTCCATAATTCCTATAAATACAAGACTACTTTCCCCATTTTAGAAGAGCTGATTTTGATAGAAATTTTTGGTTATAGGGAGAGAGAAGAGAGAGAAGCTGAAGGAAGAAGAAGAAGAAGAAGAAGAAGAAGAAGAAGAAGGAGGAGGAGCTAGGAGCAAGGAGGCATCTTCTCCAACCCCAAGTCTTCTTCTATTTCTACCGTGTATCTTCTTCCCTCCTTTATGTAGTAATCCTCCAAGGTACTAGGGGTTCTAAATCCCAAACCCTAGTTTTAGAGTTTACTATGTATATATGGATATTTTAGGGTTTGAATGAATGAATGTGTTTGTCTAGTTGATTTTAATGCCACTGTTTCCTAAATTATGACGCTTGGGTATTTTGCCCTAATCTTCCCTCTTAGCCTACTATATGCTACTATACTGGGTATGGAGTTCTAGGGTTAGACGGGATGTGCCAACTGGCGAGTTTAGGTTATATGTGTGAATGGGTCCTATAGTGTTCGAGGCGACCAAACCGTTGCTATAGGTAGCCTTCCTAGATGAACCTCAGTGTGGACGGTGGATAGTGTCCATTGAAATGAGACATAAGCTTAATGCCCCAGACATAATTGAAACACCCTAACCCGGCCGGGCGGGTACTACTTTTACTAAAATGCCCTTGACAAATAAAATACTCAAATCTTAAATTGCAGCGGGAAAAATTTTCATAAATAAAATACTGAAAACACACTTGTGGTTCCGAGCAAAGCCCTAACACGTGGGCAAATTAAACTCAAACTTTAAAATCTCAATCTGATCACAAAATAATCTCAAGTCTGTACTCATAATCATAAATGTAAGTAACTAATACTCTGAAGTTGTTGCTACTGAAATCCTTGACTAAGCATCCTCCGTGACGCTTATACTGCTCTCCTCTAGCTGGCTGCCCTCGAACTCGCTGCTCACTAACTGCTCCTCTAGCTCCTCAAACTGGTGAGTGAGATGGGGTCAGTCTACGCCCTTACGTTTTAGTAATTTTAATACTTGAATACTTTACTTTAACACTTAACTTCAACTAGTGGAAGTTGCTTGTACTTCCAACTTAAGATATTGACTCTTAAACTTGAGGGAGTTGAAGTTACTCCACTCTCTTAAAGCTCAAATCTTGACTTAAATCTTTTGAATGACAAGGGGATCCCTCACTAGCTAGTATGGTTGCCAACTCATACGTATGAGAAGCCATCAAGGTTTTCCTTAAACTTAAACTTAGTTAGGGAAGTCGTAACGATTCATCCCCCCAACATCTCAAACTTATTGTGGTGGCTCTTCACCACGATTCTCAAGAGCATAACTGCTGCTCATCTTAAAAGTCTCGAGAGCATAACTGCTGATCTATCTCAAACTGTCTCAAAAGGGCAACGGACTGGCGCTAGTGACTAAAAACACTTAAAACGATTTCACCTTCTTGAAGCTGAGTTACTTCTTAAAAAGAACTTGTTTCTTACTTCAACAATAACTTAGAAACTTAAAGCTTAAATCTAAATAAGAACTCATGCACATTCACATCAAACATAGCTCAAACAAAATCACATATCATCAACCATAAGCACAATCAAATACCAACATTCACTTCATCTAAATACTCAAGACTTGAAATTCTTGAAAGAACACATAAGGCGTAGAATTTACCCCCTTTACACTCACCTCTAATCCGTCGAAACCAACTCTGAATCTTCTCTAACATTTCCATACTTGCTCCATCTAAATTCTCCTCGCGCTCACGATTCCATAGGTGCTGACGATTCCTTGATCGGACGTCAATTGATCGAGTTATGACCAAAATAAATATTCTGTCAGCTTAAAAGTTCTAGGTACCGAAATTGAAATTTTTCCAGTCAACATAGTTGACCACGACCCTGCTGTAAAATTACCGAAATGATCCACAAACTTTTCGAATTGTCTGTAGTGGTACCTGAACTTGACAGATTTCCGGCCAAACTTTCGATGCTCGTTTCTCCCTCGTCTGACGTCAGAATCCGATTTCGTCAACGCGGTGATGATCCTGGGATCGTCCTCTTCGCGATGATAACCACCACTCAAAGAAAATTGGAAGTCGCCTACGCCGGGATCGTTGTCGGAAGTCGGAACTGCTTGTCTTCTTCTCCTAACAAGTCGTCCTCAACTCCGTGTGAAACTTGTCCAGGCGATTCGCGATGAAGCGTTGGTGGTCGTGGAAGAGGCGCCAGTTGAGCCCATCGTCTTCCAGAATCCAACCTTGTCCTCAACCCCGCCACTATGCATTTGATCATGTACTTATATATATTCACCTTCGGGTTTTGATTTTCCATCGCACAGTCCGAGATTGATCTTTTGAGGAAAAAGGGTCGGAATTAAAAACTTCGGTAACAGCTTGAAGGGGGTCCTTTGGAGGTTGAGAAGCATCTCCACGGCTTTCTGATGAACTGAAGTCTCCACATAATCAGAATGATGATTGATGGTGATCTTTGTATCGGTTGAAACTGCAGGCGGTCAATTCGTCATCTTCATCGTCGGAGACCGGGAAATCTCCTTATATGAATCTTGAAGGCAGTGAAGTTGTGGAAAAAAATCTAAAGCTCCTAATCAGCCATGGTTTTCATTGGTAGAGGATCGGTCGGTTTTGTGGATACCAGAGGGTTGTGTTAGTTTTTTTTTCTTCCCGAGCACCAGGGTTGACGGCATCCTGTATGTTCCAATGGGATTTATGCTATTGAGGAGAAGAGATGGAACCGAGAGAAACATTAGGTTTTCCTAGGTTCAATTGCCACCGGGGTCATTTTGGGAATTTCACAGTTACGAGTGATTTTAACCCGAAACTCAATTTATGCCCGAAACTTTCTCATTTTATGTCAAAATTTGACACCGCTTGAATCGATAGTTCACATTTTTAGTCCTTCTCGACATTACTGTGAAATTTGACAAATTTGGACCGAGGGCATAATCGTCATTTCGGCTTAGCAAAAGATGTGGTGTAACAATAATAGCGTAGATCGAGGTGACTGGAACATGGGTTTAGGGGAGGGTGTACTCGGAGGCGTGTGGATAACCACGAAAGCCCACGGAAAAGAGCTCACTCACCACATTCGATAACCCTAAGTATCTATATATGCATAGTGACCCTAAGCTAGGGGGAGGGATAGTTCCCCGAAGTACCTGCTTTTAGCTTTTATCAATCTCTAGACTAGTGTTTCCTCATATCTTCCACTTAAAACCTCAACAACCGATTAACTAATTAGCAACTAGGTGGGAAGTAGGCTAGGTACCGGGACCCGAGTAGAATACGACCTTGATTACCACTATACGGCAACGTCGTTCTAGGTTAAACTTGGCCTAGGATGGTTAGTTATTGATACTTGCTAACCTCTGACAATAACCTCCATGAATTCAAGTGATCAAGCTTTTTGGCGCCGTTGCCGGGGACCCTTGGTAACTAGTAAAAAACCATTAAGTTGTTAGTTAGTCTTTACCTTGCTTTATTTGTTTTGTGTTGTGTTTGATTTTTGTTTTGTGTGTTTATTTCTTGTTTTGCTTTTTTCGTATGTGTTTCATTGTTTGTTTTGTTTTCCAACTTTGTACGTTACGGGTTGTTGAGGTTGTGTTTTGTATCACTGTTGTATGCGAAGAAGTGATTCCTTGGAAATATTACCTCTTGATTATGAAATCAAGAGAACCCTTTGGAATCTAAGAAGATTTGAAAAACCTCAAACTCCACGAATGGCAGTGCCTCAACCTCAAGTAATACGAAGGTCCAAGGCGAAGAACAATAAGATTTTATTCTTGTCCATGAACCAATGACATTCACGCCCGGTACTTTACCCTACTCTCACGGGGCAGGATTGTGAGATCACGCCGGGTATGATTTCATTGATCAAGACCGATTACCAATTCAAAGGGGAAAGGAGGAAATCCCCCATCTTCATGTAGAGGAATTCCTCCTCCTTACCAATGGGTTGAATGTGAATGAAGATGTTAGAGATTTGGTCCGCCTACTCTTTTTTCCCTTCTCCATTTCTGGAGAATCTCGGAAGTGGTTCATGAGTCAACCCCACCACTCTATCACTTCTTGGGAGGAGCTTTGCAATAAATTCCTTAACAGATCCCCCCCCCCTCCCCCCGCGAAGACTGCAAGCATGTGAGCTACTATTAACACATTCAAAAATGAACCAAGAGAATTTGGGGGAAGAATGGGAGAGATTCAATGTCCGATTATACAAATGCCCTCATCTTGGTATCGAATATTGGAGAAAGGTAGAAATCTTCTTCAAAGGACTCAAAAGCGAAGGGAAGAATCGCATCTTAATGAGAGCAAGAGTGAATTGGAAGAACAAAGAACCAGAGGACATTTTAAATCTCTTACAAGACATGGCGGAAACTGAGCATGAGTGGAAGGAGATATGAGAAAAGGATCTAGAAGGATGCATTTCACTCAGATGGATGATGAGACCGAGCGAATCCCGTCACTAGATCAGGATCCAACTTTAACTTTTTCACCTCCGTTAAAGCACATGCTTAGAGAAAGGTCGATAACCGATGGTGATGGGAGTATGGAGACCTTCCCAAGGAAAACAGAGGATCTAGAAGGATGCATTTCTAAATTTCAGGAAGTTGTAAGGGAGAGTTTTGACAGAATATAGAAAGTGGAAGAACTCTTGGAAACTCTGCCAGCCAATTTCCAAGAACTAGAAAAAAACCAAGAATGAAATGAGACGAGAATCCAAGCTTTACAAAAGAAAGTCAAACAGACGATGGAACTAGTGGCGGAAAAGCAAAAGAGAAGAGACAATGAAGATACTACCCTCTCACGATGATAGATGGGGGAATTGACCAAGACTAGTTCGAGGAGCAAGGCCACCTCCGCACCTTACCCCTCTAGATTGAGGAATGACGTCCTAGATAATGAGTTTGCAGAATATTTAACCCTATTGAAGCAAATCCCGATCTTGATCCCATTCCTCGATTCCCAAATATTCGAGATACTTGGGAATACTTGAAGAACTTGTTGACCAAGAAGGAGAAATTGGGGGAGGTCTCAACTTTTGAACTCAATGGGATGGGTTTTCTCGCGCTTCAGAGAAAGCACCCAGAGAAGAATGATCCAGGGAGTTTTACTTTACCTTGCATGATTGGTGGTCTCTTGTTTAAGAAATGCTTAGCCAATTTAAGAGCTAGTATAAATGTTATGCCTTATCAAGTTTTCAAGAAGTTAGTTTTAGGTGAACTAACCCCTACTCAATTGAATATACAACTAGCTGAGAGGTCTGTTGTTTGTCCTAAGGGTTTGATTCAGGATTTACTCGTTAAGGTAGGTCGTTTTATTTTCCTAGCTGACTTTATTATCCTAGACATGCTTGGCGATGTTGATGCCCCCCTCATTCTTGATAGACCATTTCTAAAACCATTAAATCCATTATCGATGTTCACAATGGTAAATTAACAGTTAGACTAGGAAATGAGGAAGTCACTTTCTCAAATCAAGTTAGGTCACACCCTAATGAAGAGTGTGATGAGCTAAATCTTTCAGAAGATTTACCTAATTTATATAGCATACCTACCTCCCTTTACCATGAGTCTAATGACCCTTTTGAACAATGTCTTGTACTAGGTACTGATTTTGCATTGGAGATGAATCTCATTGATCAACTGAACGCATTAGAAAATGGGAGGGGAGAAGTGGCAAATGAGGCGGTGGAACCCCTATCGGAGATAAATAGGATCTCAACCTCAATCGAAGAACCACCAAACCTTGAGTTGAAGCCCTTAACTAAGCATCTTGAATATGCTTTCTTAAGGGAGGGCTCAAAACTTCCGGTGATTATCAATGCGAAACTCAATGAAGAGCACAAGTCAACACTCATTTAGCTTTAGAGAAAACATGAAAAGGCTATAGCTTGGAAGATAACAGATATTCAGGGAATTAATCCATCCTTCTGGGCCCATAAGATCAACATAGAAGATATGAGTAAACCAGTCGTGCAACCTCAACGACGTCTCAATCCAAACATGGTGGAAGTGGTTAAAATAGAGATCATCAAACTGTTTGATGATTCAGGCTTAATTGTACACTTCTTACCCCCGGTTTCCTTAGCCATTTGAGGCATTTTTACTCAGGGAGATTTGGTTTTACGCTGGGTTTTGTCTAGTTTTTGCGTATTTCAGTCTATAGCAGGTGGAACCAACCCTGGAATCGAAAGTTAGACGAAAAGGCGCAAAATCGGGACAAAGGACGGAGGCAGTAGCAGATCACGGTGGAACCAGTCAATTCACAGTCAGGGAGACCGTGAACTAGAGCCTCAAACCGTGAACCTCCGGGCATCCAAGGACATTTTTTATCTCACTGGACTCAAGGCAGTTCACGGTCGTAACACCATGAACCCAAGCCCTGACCATGAACTGAATTATTGAAGCGGCACGTTTTGCCCTGAGATCACGGTCCCCACCTTGAGTTCACGGCTGTCAACTAGGACCGTGATGTGAGCCCGACCTAGGTATAAAAAGGGGTTTGAGCTGAAGAAAAAGGGAGGAGACCTTGAGTGAGAAAACCTTCTTCTTTAGCATTCTAGAGAGAGAAAGCAACGAGCAAGAAAAGAGAAGAAGCTTGGGTTTCATTCCAAGGCAAGGAATTGGGAAAATCTTCCCCAAGGGAAGATCTCTTCTACACAAGGAAGGATTCAAGCATCTCCATGATGGTTTTTATTCTTTCTCCTTGTGTTTTCCCTCTCCTAGCATGGAGTAGTTTCCCATTTCACTTGGGTGTTTGTAAACCTTAATCCTACCATGTGATTGATTGTATGGAATGGTTGTCTATGTGTGGGTGTGTTTCAATACAAATTTGGAGGTATTTTCATGGAAGATTGTGTTGTGTGTTTGCCTATCAATCTATTTGCCATTCTAACCTAGGTAGAGAGAAAACTCCCTTTTGTTGAAGAGGCTTGTAAACCTGGATTTTCATAGGTAAATCATGCCTCCTATCTAGGTTAATGTAGGGCATCCCTCCTTATTTGTGTTTGCACCTAGGTTGATTGTGTTTTGGCCGTCCGAACTCCAATTCGAGAGTAAAGGTTTGGTAGTCCTTAGTCGATCAGGCCAAGAGAGCTACCTTGATGGCTTAATCCGAATTCCTTGGCCTAGGGACTGAGAGAGTATTGTTCCATCACTAGCTACACTTCACTTACGGTCCTCAATAATCTCCACCATACATTTTCAGTCTTTCCTACAAGTCATGGTAGCGAGTTAGGGGGAGCTACACCTGGGTGAATCCTTCTCCTTTAAGAGTCAAAACCAATTACTTTTGCAACTACTTTAATAGTAGATCGTAATTCTCAATCAAACTACCAATTGCTAGATAATGTTTCAAACAATCGAAGTAGGGGTACATGGATCGGCCCGGGTTGATATTTAAACATACTTGCCCTATATTGCACCCAATTAAGGTTTATAGTTGGGCTTTAATTGAGGGTTTTATTGTGATATTTGGGACGATTCAAGTTTTTGGAGCCATTTCCGGTGAGCAAACGGTTTGTTATTTTGAAAAGATTGTTTGGTGTTAATCTAGCTTTTACATTTCACTTTTGTGTTTGTTAATCTTGCTTGTGTTAGACAAGTTGTAGTTCTTTTGAGTGTGTGCAAGGAGGTGTATGACCTGGAGTAATCCGACACCTTTGGCGCCACTGGACGCGAATCTTAACCGCACTCTCCGACTCTTGGCTCGTGAGAGGGAGCTAGCCGAAGCTAGAAGAAGGATAGAAGATTGGGGAAAACCACAAGTTAGTCCCGATGAAGAATTTTTAGTTGAGGAAGAGTTTGATTCTAAAGAGGAAGGAAGTGAAGCTGCTATGAAGGCTAATCAACATGCTCCAGCTGGAGCGGCTGCAGAGGAGCAACGAAGGACCATGGGCTACTAAATGACCCCACGGATGGCAGATATTCAACCCGCCATTTGACATCCACCTGTGGCTGCCAACAATTCTGTGATCAAGCCCACCCTGGTCACCATGATCCAAAACAATGCACTGTTTCATGGGCTTAGCAATGAGTCTCCAAGGGATCATGTTCAGAATTTCATCGAGCTTTAGGGAAGTTTGAAGATCAATGGTGTTCCGAGGAGGCTTGAAGTTGAAGCTATTCCCTTATTCTCTTGCGGGGAATGAGTCTCAGTGGCTCAACAATAGACTGGCCCTCTCTATCACCTCGTGGGATGACATGCTCAACAAGTTCATGACTCGGTATTGCGCACCTTCAAAGACGGCAGAGTGGCGCGAGAAGATCACCCACTTTGAGCAAGAGGAAGATGAGACATTGAGTGATGCTTGGGAAAGGTACTCTGATTTCCTCCTCCAGTGCCCACACCATGGATTCGAGGAGCAATTCCTGATTGAGACCTTCTATAGAGGTCTCCACAAAGACGTCAAGATTCTCATTGACTCTTTATGTCAAGGGAAATTGATGAACATTACCCCACCCCAAGTGACCGAGTTGATCGAAGTCATTGAAGGTATAGGGTATGATTGGGGTTTGACGAGAAGTGGCAAGAGAAGCACCGAAAGTGGACTGAAAATGTGTAGGAGTGAGTCCTCTGCTTGAAGCTAAGATTGATCGGTTGATTGATGCACTCCTAGAGGACGAGAAGTATGGGAAGAGGCCGGTAATGGCGTGTGATTGGTGTTCGAGTACCAACCACGAGATTTGGAGTGTCAAATGATGAAGGAGTCAAGCACCCCCAAGGAGTAATTGAGTTTCATCGCCAATGCTAGGGGAAATAAAACCCCTATAGCAACACTTACAACCCGGGGTGGCGAAATCATCCCAATTTCTCTTGGTATCTCTTACCAACCCAAGACCCCCCCCCCCCCCCCCCCCCCCGATTTCCAAGGACCAACGGGAAATTATCAACCAAGGCCTACTCTCATTCCAAGCTCAAGGTGGTCAAGGGTTCCAACAACCCGATAAGTTTGCAAAACGTGAAGACCTAATGTCCACCTTCGTGACCACAAGCACTCAAAAGTTTGAGAATATTGAGCAATTTATGGATGTGGCAACAACAAAGTTTATTTTGATTTAGGCGGGATTGAGGAGCCATCAAGCTAGCCTTCAAAACTTGGA